GACTCTCTTTTACATAACAACCCAGACTCCTTGTACAGCTCTTGTACAGGTGGGACCGACAGTCTGGACTTACCTGTGCAACCAGGTCCGGAAGAAGCCCATCTCTGGAAGGTGCAGGATCTCCGGACTGGTCTCGCACAACTGCACGAAACCCTTTAACTCTGTCAGTTTCCGTGGGTCCATATTGCTCTGTCACGTCCAGCACACAGCGGGCTGAAACCAGAGAGAAACACAATCAACAACTTCTGGCGGTGTTTGCGTGCGCAGCTGCTAACGTTAATGCCAGCGTTGCTAAGCTAAGTGTGCTAATACGGCGGTTTGAATGGAGGTGCGCGACAACCTCACTTTTCTTCACGTCAACACAACGACACTGGTGACGGAGACAAACGTGCACAACTAACACCAATTACTAATACAACATAAGCAAACCGAGACCAGGAGTTTGTGGAAATGTGACGCGACCACAGTTTGACGCAGGATAACGTCGTTAGCTAGCTGCAGCACGGGCCGTGGTCAACACTTAACGTTAATACAGACACACGTCTCGGTAACCGGGGGGACGACGCACCTGCTCCAATGTGCACACCGTTGACACCCGAGAAGAAAACCCGCAGAGTGAGGTTGCAAGTGGTTGTTTTCTTTTATTTTTTTGTTGTTGTTGTTTTTATCGCCACAACAATGCTGCTCTAGTAGTGGCGTCGCTCCGGTGTTTTCATTCAGGCGAGTTGCCGGACAGACCGACCGTGTATGGATCGGGATTTGTGTCCCTGAGCTCGGGCTGTCAGGAGGGAGACAAATCAAGAAGGTTCTACACTCTTCTTCTTGTAGGATTGTGGTCGCTCACAGGCGTCTCACTGCCCTCCACAGGACACACATTTAACTGATACATATTCACGTTTCTAATCCTCAATCATGCAGGAACTGTAAAACTGATTTTGAACCAGAATCTTATTTTATTGGCCAGATATGTGCGCACATACAAGGGTGGTACATTGCTTTACATTGCTCTTTACGTTGCTCTTAATGTACAAACACAGATTAAGCATAAATAAACAGGACAAAAAGCTCAACACAACACACACAAACTACTATGTACAGTTATACGTATATATAAACAAATATTTGTAGAGTTATGGTGCAATCGTAGTAGAAAATAACAATACTTCCAGGTCTGACAGTCTTTTCCTTTCTGTATTATATTTGATACATTCCAGGAAAATATGCATGACTGTTTCAGGACATCCACGCTCACATAATCCAATAGGATGTTTATAATGTTCACGTACTCATTTAACCTGCAGTGTCCGAGCCTCAGTCTGCAAATCTTAGCAGAATCTCTTCGGGTTCCAAAATAATAATATCAATAATCAGTATCAATAGTATATAATCAATAACTGACTTTTTTAATCGGAGGATGTAAAGACAAATAGTGCTTCCCTTTGGTCTCCTTTCCCTGCCATTCGCTTTCAACACCCTCCTTGTTCTACTCCTCCCAGACATATAAATGTTTATATCTATTTCTCCTTTCTTTATGATTGCCTTTGCTGTAGAATCAGCTATTTAATTTACCTCAACTGTAGCATGCTCTGGAGCATCAATCAAAAGTAAGATCGATATCCAGCTCTTGCATTACCCCAAAAGATAGAGGAAACCAGCCCATATATTGTGCTATATGAGACTTGCTTCCTGTTTTGTAAATCAAAAATAGTTTGTTCTTGATTTTGCCCTTTCAAAAGACACCTATATTCCAGATTTATTCCACAAGGTATGTTTGTTCTGCTTATGTGGGCTCCTGCATATGTAGGTCTGAAGGAAAACAGAACAGAGAGATGCTATAGATTTTCCATTAAGCAAATCAGAGTTTGAGGGGATACTTAATCAAAGCAATAGAAGAGAGTGGCAATAAGACTTATATATATATATATATATATATACACTACCAGTCAAAAGTTTGGACACACCTTCTCATTTAATGTTTTTTTCTTTATTTTCAAGACTATTTACATTGCAGATTCTCACTGAAGGCATCAAAACTATGAATGAACACATATGGAATTATGTAGTAAACAAAAAAGTGTGAAATAACTCAAAATATGTTTCATATTTTAGATTCCTCAAAGTAGCCACCCTTTGCTTTGTTGACAGCGCTGCAAACCCTTGGCCTTCTCTCAATGAGCTTCACGATGTAGTCACCTGAAATGGTTTTCACTTCACAGGTGTGCCTTGTCAGGGTTCATTTGTGGAATTTCTTGCCTTCTTAATGGGGTTGGGACCATCAGTTGTGTTGTGCAGAAGTCAGGTTGGTACACAGCTGACAGCCCTATGTGACAACTGTTAGAATTCATATTATGGCAAGAACTAATTAGCTAAGTAAAGAGAAACGACAGTCCATCATTACTTTAAGAACTGAAGGTCAGTCAGTCCGGAAAATTGCAAAAACTTTGAATGTGTCCCCCAAGTGCAGTCGCAAAAACCATCAAGCGCTACGACGAAACTGGCTCACATGAGGACCGCCCCAGGAGAGGTAGACCAAGAGTCACCTCTGCTGCTGAGGATAAGTTCATCCGAGTCACCAGCCTCAGAAGATCACAAGTTAACAGCACCTCAGATTAGAGCCCAGATGAATGCCACACCAAGTTCTAGTAGCAGACACATCTCTACATCAACTGTTCAGAGGAGAATGCGTGAATCAGGCCTTTATGGTCAAATAGCTGCTAAAAAACCACTACTAAGGAAGAGCAACAAGCAGAAGAGATTTGTTTGGGCCAAGAAACACAAGAGATACATTAGGACATTAGACCAGTGGAAGTCTGTGCTTTGGTCTGATGAGTCCAAATTTGAGATCTTTGGTTCCACCCGCCGTGTCTTTGTGCGACACAGAAAAGGCGAACCGATGGTCTCTACATGCATGGTTCCCACCGTGAAGCATGGAGGAGGAGGTGTGATGGTGTCGGGGTGCTTTGCTGGTGGCACTGTTGGGGATTTATTCAAAATTAAAGGCAAACTGAACCAGCATGGCTACCACAGCATCATGCAGCATCATGCCATCCCATCCGGTTTGCATTTAGTTGGACCATCATTTATTTTTCAACAGGACAATGACCCCAAACACACCTCCAGGCTGTGGAAGGGCTATTTGACCAAGAAGGAGAGTGATGGAGTGCTGCGCCAGATGATCCTTGGGTCCTTGGTGCAGTGACCACTTGTCTGGGTCCAACCTGTGGCCCTTTGCTGCGTGTTGTCCTTTCTCTTTCTCTCTCTCTCTCTTTCTCTCTCTCTCTCTCTCTCTCTCCTCCCCCCCTCCTGTAGATCTTCAGCTGTTCTATTCAATAAAGGCAAATAGCCCCAAAACAAATTTAAATAAATAAATAAACACATTTATGCAGCTGTGGATCGTGTGAAGGCATCGGACGATATGAACATTTCATATCCTGATTATCTAGCAGACTCTATCTGCTCCAGAAACTCAGGTCCTTTGGAGTGCAGGGAGAGCTCCTGAGGACCTTCTTTGATACTGTTGGGGCATCAGCCATTTTCTTTGGAGTGGTCTGCTGCAGCAGCAACATCTCAGCAGCCGACAGGAAGAGACTCGACAAACTGATTAAGAAGGCCAGCTCTGTCCTCGGTTGCCCTCTCGACTCAGTGCAGGTGGTGGGAGAGAGGAGGATAATAGCAAAGCTATCATCACTGATGGACAATGTCTCCCACCCCATGCAGGATACCATCACTACACTGAGCAGCTCCTTCAGCGACAGACTCCTCCCCAAATGTGTGAAGGAGAGATATCTTGGCATCAATAATAATAATAATAATAATAATAATAATAATAATAATAATAATGTCAATAATGTTGACAATAACAATGTGCAATCTATTGCCCATGTGCAACTGCTGCTACTATTTGTGTTATCTGTTGTTGTGGATTCTTACTGTTTTTTCTCTTGTACATAGTGTTTTTATTTATTATTTCCCTATTCTTACTGTTTTTTCTCTATCCCCATTGTGGGACAAATAAAGGAATATGTATCTTGGCTAAAAAACACAATATTATCACAATACTCATGAAAAGTAAGACTTTTAAAACTTAAAACTTTTAAAAACATCCTGGAATCACTTTACCTTACATTTTGTTAATAAACATATATATTTATTGCATTACAGATAGGAACCTCATCTTCCTTGTTCTTTATATGGGAATCTATACTACTTCCACACACTGTTTATATATACTGCCAATGGTTTAACCTGTTTGTTGGCAATATAACAGCAACCTGAGCCTTCAGCCACAGTGAACTATGCGTCTGCCCCTTGTCCCCGGTTCAAAATCAATCAGGTAATCATTATAGCACTGTATGATCAAGATCAAGATTAAGATCAAGATTAAGATTAGGATTAAGATTATCACCATATTTGAGTGTTTTTATTGTACATCGTCTCATCCCTAACTGTGCATTCATTTCTGGTCCACACACAAACACAAGGGGGCAGTAGTGCTGCTGGTACACTGGTTGCCAACCACCGTTAAAAAACAAACAGAAGAAGAAGGTCTGCCAATCATATCAAAGAAGGCATCCACCATTAAAACCAGTGAAGAAGAAGAATCTTTTTTATTTATTTATTTATTTATTTTTATATAGATGCTTTATTGGAAATTGTATCAAGAACAACTTACAGTGACAAACTCTTGGTATATAACACTTATTATATTCAAAATCTTGTTCATACCTCCTTATGAATTCTGTTTAACATTTATAACAAATACAAATACATCATATAGAGAGAGACATTTTAGAATTAAATAAAAGCTGAGAAAATAAAATAAGTAAAACAAAAGAAGAGTATACAATATGTAAGGCAGTATACTTAAAAAAGGAGCTTAGCAAGGGGTTAAATTAAGTTGTGTTCTAACATAAGAGTGTAAAGTTTCTGGGCAGGGGCGTTTTGTACCAAGAAGAAGAAGAGCCTGTGAGGCGGAACTGAGGGCAGCACATCCCCCTTCTACTGCGCATGAACGCGGCTAACAAACATGGAGTCAGCAAGCTAGAGAGGGTAACTGTCAGCTAAAGGCAAATATTACCCGTGTATGAGAGGGTTTTAACGCCGGTAAGTCGCAGCAACATACCGCTGAATGTCTCCGTGAATATCCAGCGTTAGTCGACCGACTCTGTCCTCCGCCGACTGTCCCTGTCGTCTGTAGCGGGGCGACATGCTGTAAGTGACCGGTGTCCTCCAGCGGCAGCAGCTATGTTGCCCTCGACCTGCACCATGTTCAGGGCTGCTGTCAGACTGCTGCCCCGGAGTCGAGGTGAGCCCAGTGTGGAGCAGATTTTAGTATAATTTTAAGTTACTTAAGTTCTTTCACTGGAGGCTGTTTTATACTTCTAGTAAAGTGCAGAGGGAAATATTAAGTCTTTACTACTTTATTTGACAGTTTTCAGATTAAGATTGTAACGTTACATAAAATACATGTGATTGACTGTTACGACACAATACAGTGTGACCATTTACAACAAAGCAGTGTCCAATCTGGGAACCTGTTTCAGTTCTTATGAGAACATTTAAAATAAGATGCTTGCTGTCACTAAAACAAAGGAGATGACTTGGGACTGACAATGAGCCAAAAACCGGTAAAACACACCTCGGTGTCCCCACAGACAACCTCATTTTCTGGAAAGCACACATTGACAACCTGTGCAACAGACTACAGCTACACCTTGTATGGAGTGAGCAGCCAGATCCTGTGGATGTTTTAGCATCATTAGATATGGAATCACAGCATGTTTTGGCAACTTAACAGGCTTGCCAGCATGCACAAGATATCTATGAGGATAACAGGGAGGAAAGAATATGAGCCCATACAGAGCCTGTACGAGCAGGAAGTCATGAAACAGGAAGACAAACTCATTTCGGACCCTCAACATCCCCTCCTCTCTGGATACGAACCTCAGACTCTGTGTGCCAAAGTTCAAATCAAACTGATCTATCTATTAAGCTGCTGGACTCTAATACTAAATCTTAGTGAAATAAAGCAACGTGCAATAAACACACCAGCACCATAGCACTTTAATTATTATAGTTAATCTCTTTTTAAGCTGCCGCATTGTCAGTGTTAAAAGTACAGTCAGTGTGTCTTTTATGTTGATTTTATGATGGTTTTCTGATGTAAGTTTGAATAATGTTTATTATATTCTAGACATTTTTTTCTATAACCTTCTCAATTAGTTTAATTCAATCAACGGTTTAAGGCTCAAACAGGTCAAATTATTATGTTAACTCAAAAATTAAGATTAGAGAAAAGTATACACACACTTGCAGATTTGTGTAACATGTAACCTTTTCATGTATTTCAGCATCAGAACAAGCACGTCACGTTGCATTAGGCACATTATGTCATAAAGAGGTGAGCAAAAATATAAAATTATGATATGAAGAAAAATATATATGTTGTTGGCACTTAATCGATGAAGGGAACCCATTTTCTGTTAAAAGGAAACCTCACCTCTTTTGACGACACATGATAATCCGTTGTATTTAAGAGGGAGAGCAGGCAGCCTTTCACCTGATGATGATGATTAATCTTCCGGCTCACAAATTAAGCAATGTGTTCGGGCCGATTGTTTTGTTACAGATTTATGAGAACACTTTAAATATTGAGGTCCAGAAATTGTTTAAAGAAATATTTGCGGGTGACATCAGAGGCAGATAACAATCTTACTAAAACTTTGTGTGTGTTTGGAAAAGTATTTCAGCTCATTTCGATTGTGATCCCTTACATTTGGTTATTAAAGAATTCTTACCAAGATATCGGTCATCTTTGGCATTTCTGTACTGCAAGTTGTTTTCAATTATGAGCAGACATTCACAGCGCAGTCCAGCTGTGATGAGCTAAAATCATCCTGCTGCAAAGCTCTAATCAAACATCCTTTGACTGCTGATGAAACAGGATTACCAGTTAAAGCAGCTGCATGCAGCATTGTAGGCGCCCAGTGCGAGAGTCTTTACCATCTGGGTTGTGTTTCTGTCTGTAGGATGTGTTTGGTGCCCGTGCAGAAACATTTCTCTGAAACCAGGAGATTCAAAACCAAGGACGGTTCCACCTCGCTACCTGGGCCAACCCAGCCCTTTCACCCATCCGCACCTCATCAAACATGGTGAGTTTAGTTTAAGATGGATTGTTGGAACAGTACATTTACACTTTTTAGAGAGAACCTGCAATGTATACGGTCTTCAGTCACATGATTAACAGGCTTATAATGTAGTTATTCCTTTAGGGAGTAAGTTTTAATGTCATATAATAGAGTGATTTTCTTTGTTCAAGTCAGTTGATTCTCGAGACTACTCGGTTTGCTTGTATCCTGTTTTGATGCAAATAAATCTTGCATGTGGAGTGAAACTGTCAATTTTCTTTGCTTTCTGTGAGTCTGTGTCACCATTCTGGGTACCTTCAGTGGGAGTTTGTGGTCTCTCACTAAAGTCAGATAGACATCAATGGAGGTGCATTGAGACGAGAAAAATTAAACCACAATACTCTGTAACGGCACAGGAACATCACAGAGTATTTGGAGAATTGTAGATCACAGACAACTGAACGCTGTTAAGAAGTGATAATAAATAATAACGATAATTATACATTGTATCTATAAAGTCATTTTCAAGATACTCAAAGACATTTGATACCACCAGGAGACAAAAAGTAGTGCACAGTGTTAAAGTGTTGGTGATGAGCTGCTGTTAAACTCCACATGTCTGATCTCTGCTCCTCAGGTGAGGTGACTCCAGGCTTGAGCCAAACAGAATATGAGCTCCGCAGACACAGGCTGGCCTCACTTATTGAGGCCCAGGCAGAAAGGCTGGGACCCTCTGCCTCCTCAAGCACCCATGTGGTCATTGTTTTGTCCCATCCTACCCGCTACATGACCAATGACATCCCTTATCCCTTCCACCAGAACCAGGTGCTAATCTACTGAACATATATTATTGAATAGCTGCACTTTAAAACGCTTTTAATGTAAATGTGAATAAGCAAACTTGAGTTAAAAAGGTGTACAAATGGGATACTGATTGTTTGTTATTTAAGTGAAGCTTCACCAATTAAATTCGAGCCAAATGTTGTGCAGGATTTCCTCTACCTCAGCGGCATCCTAGAGCCTGACAGTGCCTTGGTCCTGTACGGGAAATGCCGACCAGACCAGGCCATCTTGTTTGTCCCGCGCAGAGACCCAGGGAGGGAGCTGTGGGACGGGCCCCGGTCAGGGAAGGATGGGGCAGCTGCTTTGACCGGCATAGAGAGAGTTCATAGCACAGAAGAACTGGGTCTTGTGCTCAAGAGCCTTAAAGGTAGGTGGATGGACGTGTGAGGATGATGGTCCAGCAGGAACAGAAGTGTTATGTTGAACATTTGAACAGCCACAATTAAGTGTTTGTTAAGCTCAGCTGAATTACTTACTTTCTGTTCTAGCACGGCATGTATGCAGATTACCATGTTAACAGTGGGAGATTCAATATTAGTAATTTTCTCAAACGACGTGTCTTCAGTTTCACACAGAAGTCGGCTTCTCATTTGTAGCCATCTCTGTCAGCTGAAATGACGACTGTCACTAGCAGATTTTATCAGCTGTAGATGGCTATAGTAACCTAATGCCAAGGCTAAAACTCTGTGATTGAAACTCCCATCTCCAGCTGTTTTTTTTAATGTTTCCGGTAAATTTGTGTTAAAACGAGAACCCCATGAAAGGGTCTAAAGGTCCAGTGTGTAGGATTTAGTGGCATCTAGCGATGGAGTTTTATTTGCGTCTGTATTGGACGACCTGGGAATGAGAAAAGGCTGTGAAATGTATACGAGAAACTATGGTGGCTGCGAAACCCGTGAAACAGCCAGTGTTTGGTTTGTCCGTTCTGGGCTACTGTAGAAACATGGCAGTTCAACATGTTAGACTGTAGAAGAGGACACCTATCAATATCATATTGCATTTCTGCAAGTAGAGCCTCCTAAATTTTACACACTGAGCTTTTAAATGTGTACATTGTGGCTGCATCATGAATGACAAAAATGGCACCTGTTCAGTGCAATGAGAGTTCCCATTGCAATTCCCAATTCTGGCCCGTAGACTTTACATTATGATGAAGTCATGGATTTTTAAATTGCTTTTCTCGGCTTGAGGAATGTTTTATAAACACAAAACCTCCATGGATCAAAAACTCATATAGAAAGAGTCTGAGCTTGTTTGCAGTTCAAGGTGTCCTGTCAACTGTTAAATTTCAAATTATTTTTGGGCTGCAGGGGATTTTTTGTTATAATACCATGAGAACTGGAAGCAAGGCTGAGCATCGGAGCCGTATCCTAGTCTTAGTAATATATCCATGGGCTACAAGCTTAACTAACTAATGCTCAAAGACTGAACCTAAAGCCATATGTCCAGGCAGAAAGTGAGAATCCTCATCAGGAGCAGCACTGTTTGTTTATTGCTGTGCAGTATTTTTATACAATGTTGTAAATGAAAATGTTATTTTCACAGACACAATCCTTGGAGGGTTTTGAGTCTTACTTTAGGAAAACATATTCCGAAAAGCAACTCAGAGGTTAGATTTATGCTTTGATCTATTTTGTGATCTAAAAGTGATGCTATTTTTTACAATTTTGGTTTCTGGGATTTAAACTCTCACAAACCAAATAAAGAACCGGACAGAACTGCTTGTTAGACTAAACTCTAACATACTAACATCTTGCCCATAGTGGATTTTCTAGTCCTGAACACCTGTAAACCCACAAAATAATCCTAGTAACATGTTAGCGTTTGCAGCTTACGTTAGAGCAGACAAACACACTGTTTAATCAATTCCTTACACTTTTGTTTACCCTTTAAATGCAGCGTAACGTCTCTTACTGCACCCACCACTTCAATATGTGGAGAAACCCAATGTTTAACAGGTCTGCTGGCTTAGTTACGGTTGCAAAGCATGATTGTTGGCAGGGTTTTTTTTTACAGTCAACTTTGATCAGGAGAAGGGCGATGGACTTACTTAATTTCTGACAAACAAACACAGGAGCTGACTTTCGATCACTAACAAATTAGGGCCTTAATTTCACTGTTCCCATTTTCTATCTACTCTGATCCTCTTTTCAGGCACTCTGCTGTGGTATGATAGCTCTCAGCCCACCCACCCTCGCCTCCACAAGACTCATGTGTGTCCCGTGCTGGAGGCAGGACCGATGCCGCACTCTCTCAGACCTCTCATACACTCTCTGAGGGCCATCAAAAGCTCAGCAGAGGTGGCGCTCATGCAAGCAGCAGGTCACATCACTGCACAGGTTGGTGTTTAAACCACACTACAGTGTCAATGTCATAATGTTATATTATACTAGGAAATGCCTGCAAATAGGGCTATATAGTGTTATATAACAGTGTCTCTTGACCATTTCTTCCAACACATTTAGTGATTCTTTTTAAGATACATGTATTGTAGTGTGTTCACTCAACTCAGATCCATGTCTTTCAGGCTTTTAGGAGGACAATGGCTCTGTCTCAAGGAGATGTGGATGAAGCTGTGCTCTTTGCAAAGGTAACTGAAAATATTTGATGACCTCTTTGTGGCTCTTAACTGCCTCTCTATCATGTGGGGCTTGGTCTTCATGTCTTTTAATTAATCAGGCTCTTAAATGTAATCACTGCGACTCTAAGTGTCATCCATTGATTATGCAGTCAGTGCAGAATGAGCTATTGCTCATTAAGACTGGACATGACTGACAAATTGATTAAAGTTATAATATTCATATTTTCAAGAGAAACAAACTATATGCACTATTGCCAACTTCTGATAAAGAAGTATTCACTGAGGCTCACACAGGTCCTTAAACAGTATGTTTACATGCACAGAAAGAACCAGATGAGAAGTGACCATTTGTCACAGACAACTCTATACAGTAAAAGACCAGTTTATATCTAATGTAATAAGTAGTAGACACTGCTCTACAAATATGTATTCCAATAACAGCTTGTCAGCCACTTTATGTATCAACCACTTATTCTCTTTATTTAAAAGTTTCTTATTTGTGGATTATGCAACTCATAAGAAGCATGTTGTCATGTTGTTTCTTTTTGTGTTCCTAAAAATGTTTTAAATAGTGTGCAGGAGACTGAAATGCTAGTGCTAGGATTTGCCTAGTTTCAATAAAATGATTGTCGTTCTGTCCTGTAGAAACAAATTCATCATCCTGGATATCTGTGCAGCACTGGAATAATGTGTTTTTGTGATTTGTTTTTATAAGGCTGCTGAGTGAAGGCTAACCTTCTGAAATTTAGGAATAAAATTAGAAACTGTTGCTGTCACTGATGCATTTTCATCCCAGTAGTTATATTATTATATGTTTTCTCAAACAATAATGGTAAGATATACAGTAGAATATATAGCCCTACAAAGGCAGAGAGCAGTGACTACATAAACACTAGTTGTCAGGCTAGCTTAACAGTTTTCTCACCAACTAACTTTAACTTGAACTCTGTTGTTTTAGCTGTTTCTCCATTGCAGTAATGCAGTAAACACAATCAGTTTCTAGCTCTCATAGATTAACAACTGAGTTTAGTTTAAGCTCCATTTTGTAGTTTCTTGTCAGATTCAGGTCTTTATTCAACTTTGACCAAATGTGTAATTACTGTGTTTGTATGTATTGCAAACATGACGCTCACAGTCCCATTTCAATTGGAAAGACTTCTTCTTATTCCAGTTTGATTTTGAGAATCGGATACATGGCGCAAACTTCCTGGCCTATCCCCCTGTTGTTGCTGGAGGGAATCGAGCCAATACTCTGCACTACATAAACAACAACCAGATTATCAAGGTAAACAAAGGGGTTGAATGTGCTAAAGGATCCGTCCTGTCATATATGCTGCAATGCAACATTAAGCCCTCTGAAGCCCTCTGAAAATGATAAATGGTCACATATATAAAGTAATGACTCATTATACTTTTTCTCCCCCATCAGGATGGTGAAATGGTGCTTCTTGATGGTGGTTGTGAATACTTTGGTTATGTCAGTGATATCACTCGAACATGGCCAGTGAATGGAAAGTAAGTTTGATAAAATAATCTTAAAACTGCAGTAGGCAACATACACAATGCAAATCCTTTCCCCTGTCTCTCTCTGCTGCCTCATATCACTCCGTTAAACCCTTTGCTACCAAACCCACAAGTTCTTACGGCAGCAGAAGGAGCTGTTGCCCTGAAAAACCTCATGCCTCATAGGGCCCGCTCTCCGCAGCATTAGCCTCTCCAAGACCCCAGTCCTTCTCGCCGTAACCGGTGACTCATCTTCTCCAAGAAGTGGCCCCAGGGCAGAGCACCCCTGGCTTCAGTGGGATGAGAGGATGGTCCAGACATCTTTTTTAACTGCCTCAGCAATACTCTGCTTCAGCGGAGAGGGGCAAGAAACAGCGGAGGACCTGATTTCTCCGGGAGGGGGCTGTGCCGTATTATTGGACTGTCCCACCGACCTCTAATAATGCGGAAAAAGAAATTGGACATTCAAAGGCACCCCTGTCCCCCCTCAAAAGTTATTTCACTCGGTTTGTCATCATGTCGCTTTACCACTTGTCGATAAGAGCACCATGGCATCAAACATAATAAGATTAAAGCTCTGTGTTTTGCCAGGACGTGTTCAGAGTGAGGTGGTGCAGAAGTCTGCTTCTCTCTCAGACCACTTAAATTGCAATATGCTAAAGGTTATTATGGCATTTCACCCGGTGGTGTAGTGCAGGTTATACAAAGTATACCTACTTATTTTTCAGTCGGCACTGGGTGTACCTGCTTGTAAATCCCCTCTGATGCACATCATTCAGTAGTGTTCTGCAAGATTAGTGTTTTCCCCTAGGATTGTGAAGGCATGACACAATTTTCATGAGTGAGTGGAGTAAGGAATAAGAAATACTTCACTCAAAATGCATAATTATGTAGTTGTCTCACCCCGTCTGTGGGCCAGTATTGATTCTTCTGTGGGTCATGTAAATTTCATAATGATCCTTACTGCCTGAAGTCAAGCAGCATTAAGTGACAATGTGTAAATACTACTGGCCCATTTGTGGGTGATCTAAATATGCAAGAGTAGTCTTACATGTCACTGTTTATATTACTGGGTGTTTATCCTCTGCTGGACAGGCTGCTTAAAACATTTTTTTTTAATTAAAAATGAAAGTGTCTACCCACTCCTCCAGGCTTCATTACACCAGTGTGCCTACCCCAGTTTTAAGCAATAAGGTGTGCTGCTCAAAGAAAAATGAGGTTGATAAAGAATATCTGGCTAAAGCTGGCGCTGGTTAAACCTACCGTTCTTACAATACAAAATCCACACAGCGTCACAGTAAACAGAAGTTATAGTGTCCTTCCGTTCCTTGCTGATGCCAAAACACTAAATGAAAATGATATAATATATGGTATGACTGTTTTTGAGAATTGTTCCGTTAGCAGTAGCACACCTTAACTGTCTGTTGCCCCCACCTCTTTCCTGCCAGATTCAGCCCTGCCCAGGCTGAGCTGTACGAGGCCGTCCTGGAGGTCCAGCGCTCCTGTTTGTCTCTGTGTTCCCCAGGTGTCAGTCTGGATCACATCTACAGTACCATGCTGGCATTGTTGGGACGACAGCTCAGGCAGTTAGGCATCGTCAAGGCCAGTACCAGTGATAGTGATTTACTAAAGGTAAGCTCTTGGCTCTTTAAAAACAAAGTTGTTGTACTGAAAGATTTTCAAATTATTTGCTATAATAAATAAATAAATAAATAAATAAAGCAAGCAAGCAAGAAAGAAAAAGTACTACTGTGGGGTAATAAAGGATGTTTTGGCAGCCACAGAGATGTTAGTTCAAGATACACAGGAGATTGACATCTTAATTCTTCATCAAGACAAAGAAATCTTGACAAATTTTTGGATTAGCTGACTGATGATGGGATTCCCCCGTGAGAAACTTTAAGCTGGGTTCATAGTTATCAGCCCTCTGAGGACATGATTTCTAATGATGTCTGTCTATCATTTGGTCGGTCATTTGGTCCAGACTGAAATCTCTCAACAGCGATTAGATGTACTGCCAAGATTGTACAGATATTAATTGTCCCCAGATGATGAATCCTACTGATTTTGGTGATCCTTCGTTATTTTTCCTCTGCCTCCACCAGCAGGTCGAAGTTTTCACTCATTCTGAGATGTATCTTAACGTCTGTTAGATGGATTGGCACCAAATTTTGTACAGACATCCATGTTGTGTCCTACTGTCTTTGGTTGTCCAAGATGAATTACCTTAGACCTCATACCTTAGATGATCCCTTAACTTCCCATGTAGTGTTGTCATCAGGTCAAATGTTTAATTTGTCCAGTACTTTATGAACAAATAATTGCCAAATCAATTAAAAATCCCATCAGCCTAAACAGTACTTTGTGTTAAAGGCTAATAAGTGAGATAGCATTTAGCCCAAAGCACCACTGGGCCTAAGTACAGACTCTCAGAGTCATTATCATGGCTGTAGACTATTGTTGTGGTCGACGTAGAACCACGTTCTTGATCCACTTGACCTCATCTTCTCATAACGGATGCTGTGGTTAAGTTGAGTCTTACTTATATGGTAACAAAACTGGCAGGTGTCTCTGAAGTCCACCACAACATCTGTTTAATTACTTTATTTTACACAGAGGAAGCATCCAAATGTTTTGAGGATAATGTCCACCAGCATCAGGAGAAGTGCTGGTGCTCATTCTTTCTAAAAGGCTTATGGATTAGGATTAAAGGGCAAGTCCTACTTCCTGAATTTTTGACTCAAAATTAGTCAGACATTGTGGATTTAACATTACAACTGGGATTCAAAATTTTTTTTATTTTGAAATTCTTCTTTGAATTACATGTTAGTATTTGTGTTCACCTTTAATATTGTTTAGATGCTCCTGGATTCAGTTGTGCTTCTCTTAAAGCAGGTGAAGAAGAAGAAAATAGAAATAGAAATATGATCTGACGAGGCTTCTTCTCCACAGTAATCCCCCTTCAGTCAGGGTCACCCCTGAATTTCATGTTTATTAAGGTCAAGCAACGAGCTCTGACTGCGCTGGGACTGCTGGTAGAACTACAACTGCTTTAATTTTGTTTATGTTCATCCCAGGCTGCAAGGCGGTACTGCCCCCACCACATTGGCCATTACCTGGGCATGGACGTCCATGACACCCCTGAGCTGTCCCGCTCACAACCTCTACAGCCAGGAATGGCCATCACTATTGAACCAGGTAAATACCCTCTTGAGTTTTCCTCCACATGTGCAGCTGTGGCTGGACCGGTTTGTATCGGACAACCTGGGAATGAGAACAGGCTGTGAAATGTGTAGGAGAAACTACGGTGGCATTTTGGAGTTTTCTATTGTTTTAACATTATTTCTTTATTTAATGAAAACCAGTATTTTTTATATGAAATAACAGGTGTACGTTTATCAATTCCTTATTCTCTTTTTGAGGAAACCCTGAGCTGCAATGCTTAAAATGAGCAGGTAAATACAATCAGATACTGAAATAAACACTAAACTGCTCAAACCAGGTCAGTCTTATCAGAGTGCAACCATACAGGTCAGTCATGCCGAGAGTAGGGCTGTGCATTATCCCAATATCTTCTTTAAGAAAGGTAAAATGTGTGATAAACAGCATTATAATGAAGTACTGTAGTACAGAGATTCCCTGGCCTACAAATCTTGTTCTCCAGATTTAAGAAAACATTGTTTGGTACAGATCCCAAACGATTATATTTTCAAACAGCGCTGTAAATATAAATATTATTTTCAATTTCTGCCAGTGGAGCCTCCTAAATGTTGCACACTGGACCTTTTAATTAAAATCTGTATAAAAATCAGGCCTTAAAAAATCCACACTGTAGCACAAACTCACAGTGCAGTTACTGTGGTGGATGGGAACAACCCCCCATTACACATTTTACATTATCTTCTCTTTGCTATTCCTGCTTTCATACAATTTCCACTTCTCTTTCCTTCTCTTGTCACAGGGTTGTACATCTGTGAGAACAATGACCAGGTGCCAGAGCGTTTCCGTGGCCTGGGCGTCAGGATTGAGGATGACGTGGTGATCCAAGACAAGGGAGGCCCTCTGATTCTGTCCTCTGGCGCACCAAAAACCATCGCTGATGTAGAGCAGGCCTGTGCCCAGAGATAGGGCAAGGAGAGACAGTGACCAAGTGAGCTACAACGTCGATGGCAGTCAATGTGCTGCCATTACCACGGTGATGACATCGTCTAGCTCAGGGCCCAGGTACATGAAAGGTGGGAGCACACTGCAAGACTCCAGTTTAGCCTCGGCAAGGCCTCAAAATGAAGAGTTCTGGTGTGGTAGAATGTAGATTTTGCGGATGTTTTTATCGTCTGGCTAAATGTTTAAAGAAACCAGCGCAGGCGATCTCAACAGTAACGTTAGTCGTTGTTAACAGGAGTGCACAAAGTCAACACACAGTTGAACGGGATGTTGCACTAATTATACTGGTCAATCTTCCAAATATTTTCTGCACAAGAGCATAAAAACCCAAACAAGCAAACATTAAGTGTGATTCCAACCTTATTACTATAAAGAGCTCATCCACAGTTGTGTGTTAATGGGTTACGGTGTTGCTTTGGAGCCTACTGACATATTCCTCCGTACACAATTACACATCAAGGCTACAGCGGTTACAACAACACAAGGTGGAGTCCAGTGTTAATAATGTACAATACGTCCATCTAGTGTTGTGATGGTGCTGTCAGTGGACGAAAGCCAGCACTGATGTAGAGATAAATGCCTTTTTTGCCTTTTCTTTTACCTTTTCAAAAAAATTCCCCATCATGGCACACCAGGATAAAATTAGTTTTTTCTCTCAAACCCCTTTTTAAAACATACTCTTCAGTTGGCTCTCACACACAAAAATGCACCACTCTTTCCCAGCTCATGCTACAGTACAAATAATCAAAACACCAAATGTGGAACATGCACTCACTGTTGCTGTGGGATTGTCAGGAAGCATCAGAGCATGTCAAATCAACAGACCACCATGTTTATGCACACAATTGATGAATAAAGAGGAACCCGTCTTAAACAGCTGCTCCTGATAAACCTGGAATGATGGTAATGATTACACCAGTGTACTGAAATGGCTTAAAAAGTGTACACTGGAAAGAGTTTGTGTGTGTTGTGTATCTGTGTGGGACGTATTGTCTTTTCAACAGAGAGAAAAATGTGTTTATATGTATTAAAAGATCTCATTATTTCTTCTTTCATAACTAATAAATTATATTGGTTTGACTCGGGTTACTCATGGTGGTCGACATGTGAGAAATGAGGATAATAATTGAATTAGGCTGTAGAAACCTTGACTGTAACACAAAAAGACAAATGTTTCACCTCAGGTGGTCACATAGAATAAATTTGAGTGTTGACAGGGTAGGAACGTCCTCCTCAGTTACAGGGGAAGGGTCCATTGTCCCCTTCATTATTATGGTTACTTTGGTTAATTGTGTTTTCACCAAATGACTTTAGCTTTGGTCTCTGTTGTCACACATGCGTGCCTCTGATAACAAACTACAGGCACTGCCATGTATCCTCTCTGACTGTTTTCTCTCTCAGGTGAAGCAATATGTTATGAAGTTCAGTGTTTATGGTTCTCATTACTTGCTCTGTCTAACCTGTGTGCTTTTTAAGACAAATACATACACTCAGTCCAAAGTAACTGATACTTTAAGTACAGTAGCAAATTATCGGAATACCTTCTCTGCCACTATCAATGATTGTGTGTAAAACTTTGAGAATGACCACAGTTTGAAAAATGTGTTTAGAAAAGTTAAGAAAAAGAAACTTATTTGTAATTCCCACCAGGGATTGAAGAGCTATTCAGACCCTTTACTTAAGCAGTAATACACAAATTATGTATGTGAAGTACCTCATAAAAATACACATGTAGATTTTAAACAGCTAGTTGGTTGAGATGGAGTTTATTTTAACTATTTCATACACTGTTGGGTAATTGAATTGCTATATATATATATATATATATATATATATATATATATATATATATATATAGCAATAACTGATCAGATTTTAAATAAGGCTGCACCCTTCAAATATTGTTCTCCAGATTTAAGTTTATTCAATGAAAATGTAATTTGTGATGCAAAAGCGACCATTCCCCATTGCTACCTGTCGAAAATAATGTCAATATGATGTTATTACTATATCTTTAAATAAAAACTAACAAGTAAGATGTCATATGAATGTAGTGGAGTAAATAGAAAATGTATAAACTCCAGTAAAGTAGCCTCAAAATGATGCTTTTTTTGTACAGTACTTGAGTAACTGTAGTGAGTTACTTCCCACTGCTGATTGTAACAAATGAGGAAGAGAGAAGTGGATTGCCACTGTCCCCTACAGATTGAAATCAACGACTACCGAAACAGCACGGAACCGGTTTTCCGGACAATCCCGAACACCTACGAAGACAACCTCCCCTCTTCTTCCCTTCCTCCCTCCCTCCCTCCTCCCCTTCACGCCTAATGTTGCTGTACCTCCAACCCTCCCCCCGTATCAGAGGAGTAGAAACAACAAGCCGCCATTTTGTTTGTGCGGACAGACCGTCAGAAACAGGAGGAGATAACCGAGAGAAGGAGCGACTCCGGCGACCGACTGCAGCCGCTCCAAGGGAACCGCCGCGGGAAGGAGCGAGAGGCGAAATCCTGTCCGTGTTTATCAAGAGAGAGAGAAAGCATCACCAAAAAGATAAGACCTCAGTGGAGGGAAAAAACCGAGTCGGTGATATATATATATATATATATAGTATATGTATATCTATATGTGTGCATGAGAAGGAAATACTCTGAAAAATCCAAGGAAGGGGGTGTTTTACGGAGCGGAGACAGAGAGGAGAGGCGGAAGAGGAGCTTTATATATTATCACAACGAGGAGGAAAAACCTGCGAAAAGGGGAAAACATCAACATGAAAAATCACTATGTGTCCGTCGCGGAGGAAGGAAAGAGTCCGCATAGACAATTATATAAATAAATTGCTGCCGGGCAGAAGGGAGAGGTGGAAAGAAAGACGGGTTTAAAGAGAAGGGGAAAATTGCCAGGATCAACACGAAGGGGGGCATTCTCCATCACAAAGAGTCAATGAGAGGATTTTTGTCAGCCCAAAATATTTTAGGGGGGTGTCAACATTAGTGTGCCGATCTGAAGCTTTCCGCTTCCGAAATAGCCATAATATCTCAGAGACCCAGCGTATCTTTTTTTAATCACATTTTCTCCTCTCGTCGTAGCTGTACTCTGCTTTTTTTTTTTTTTTTTTGTGGCTTTAAGATCTTTTTTTTCTTCACTTGCTTTGCCAAGACGTCCCATAAACAGTGGTTGACGGGTATATATAAATATATATATATATATATATATAGTTTTTTTTTTTTTTTTACACAATATTAACCATTACTTTCATTATCTGCAAGTGTTTTAAAACCACGCGAAAACCCCGGAGGAGGAACCTCATCTGGAGCACAAGATAAGTAAAAACGCCTCACAGCCTCGTCCTCTGCTAAATAAAAACTAATTGGATCAATCTGACTGCCCTCGCTGATTGGCAATCCGCGCTGTGATTGCCCCCCAAGAACTACTCTGTCAAAGAAATAAAAGTCTGCATCGGGATCGATTGCACAAGGAGGGATTTTATTTTATTATTTTTTTGAGGGGGGGAGACAAGATTTTCTATTTTTTTGCCAAAACCCCCCTGCTGCCTGCACTAGGCATTAACAAAAAAAGAAAAGAAAAAAGGGGGTTGCAACAACCAAATGTGCAATAGGAGTCTGTTCTTTCTGACCCAGTGCCTTGCATGGTCAAACACCTTTTAAAGTGCACAATTTAGTTCACGACATGCACATGCAGAAGGAAACTGATGCGTGGACAAACACATCCGTAATCGATCTTCATTGAATCTGAGTAGCTGCAAGTGTGGGACTCTTCTGCATCACTGCTCTATTTATTCAGTTTCTGGTTAAAAAAAAAAACACCCAATGCAAGTTGTTTTATCTCAGTGTTGCACTTGAGAGCACCAACTCAACTGATTTTTTGTCATTGTGTTTTTTTACAACTACTACCGGTGGTCTCCACACACACACCCACCCACCCACCCCCGGTTGGCCGTAAAGGAGGGCTCGGTATCGGCATTGCCCAGCAGTGAGATGTCTGCTCAGGTGAGAGAAATGGTAAACGCAGCCGAGGATCTCATAACTGTTGCATGAGAGATCAGCCCCCAGAAGTTTAACACAGGAAACAGACTCCTGGCTTGTGTTAGTTGGTTGGTTGTTGGTTTTTTTTGGAGCACAATTTATAATTTTTGGTGCCCTGACCGACACTCTCCACTGGAGCGCTTCAGACCTGAAATACAGGATTTCTGCGCCGACTATGGCGGACAGGACTGAGTGCAGCACGGAGGACGGATCTTCGGACAATTTTTGTGTCGCAGAAGAGGCTACATGAGGTTGTCAGAGGGCCGCACGCTTGCCTTTTTTGCCGACTCCACCTTCCCACCTCCTCCTGTTCAAATCTGTGAAGAAACAAAATCTCCGACAGGGGAGGGGGACTGATATCTGCAGAGAGGAATAAACCGAGAGGGAGAACTGTGAGGGGGGAGAGAGGAAAAAAAAAGAGTTCAACATTGCTGTCTTCTCCCCTACCGTCCCCCCAAGCGGTGGGGGAACGATCAGAAGCTTTTCTTAAAGGGATAAGGAGACGAAAATAAGGGAAATACGTCTGCCCTCCGTGGATCTACAGCTTTTTTTTTTTTTTTTTTTTAAATTCGTCGAAAAATATGGCCGATAATGTCCTGGAGTCCGGCCAGCCTGCAGCCAAGAGGCCCAAGCTGTCCTCTCCAGCTCTCTCGGTGTCCGCCAGTGATGGAAATGGTAAATATATTGCATGCATTAACTTAACCGGAGATAAAACATAAACCTAGCTTAAAGACTGTCGGTGTGTTAATCGCTGGTCAGCCTCGGAAGTCCCTGTAGAGTTGCACAGCACTGAGTTGCTCCATAACTAATGCTTTTAAAAAAACACTCACATATATATACATACATGTATGTGTCCGTATCTCGATTTAAAAGGAAGCTAGTGTGAAAGTTTTGGGACGCTAAAGACTAAACACGATGCAGTGCTGGCGGCAGCAGCAACTTTCCAACAGGGATGTTTTGATGCGTTAGCCTCAACAGGCTAACTGGCTAACCTAACTATAAGGTCCACCTCCAAACAATGGAAGAGTCGAGTCACCGCAGTTTGCTTCAAGTTGTCTAGTTTACTTTTTAAAAAGTTCATCAGCTTGTAAAGGACGAGGCGATGTGTGCACCAAACAACCGCCTCCACACATATTTATGTGTATATACCGTAAATATGGGAGCAAATGACCGTTTACTAACGTTAGCTTTAGGAGAAAGTAACGGTAACCAAGCGAGCTAGCTAACTAGCTAACGTTAGGTAGATAACCGGACCGGCTCAGCTGAGCTCGGTAGCAGAGAAAAGAAGTGATTATTAACTAGCCAAACCTTATTCGGCCACCAGAGTAACTTTTTTTCAGTGTGTCCTAACCCTTTTCGTTGTTGTAGCTTAAACATTTTGTGGGGGGTTCATGCGTTTGAGGGTATTTAACGTTAACGTTAGCCGATGCTCCTTTTTTTATTTTTTTCTTGTTGTTTTTTTTAAGTGCACTAAGCTAACGTTAGCTATTGTTCGACTCTTCATTAAAGTTTGGAGACGCGCTGCCGTCCGGACGAGGATGTGGCTGTGTGTCCATTTTAACTGTTGCCGCGTTGAAATGAAAAGGGGCAAAAAACCGGCCGCCGTCCCTGAAATGTCTTCTTTCATGTCTTTTGTTCTGGGGGGGTTTCTTAGTTTCTCAATTGTACTACCGACGAAGCCCATTCTTGCTCAGCCTCCATTGTTTGACTGCACGGTTACACTGCGCTGCACTTTTCTTTTCTTTGTTTTTTTTTTACTTTTACAAAATGATTAAACTCGCATCCCAAGCAGACTATTTGAATGCATTTCGTCTTGGTTGTGAATTAAACTATTATTGCAAACGAATTGATTCACGCACATTGAGCAATAGGCTGTAAACAATTTGCGTCACCTCCTCTTGTTGCATCGTGTTGTAAGGAGAGCAGAGAAAGAAGCACAGTGATTTGGATATTCAGTTTGGGCGGGTTTTCCTCTGTGAATTAAACAATCAATATCTATAGTATAACAATTGTTGTTTATAAAACAAAAACCTTAAAGAATTCTGTACTGTTTTAATGTCAACCATGCAAAGTTTGGTAGCCACACCACCAGCTCTCCAACTATCAGAAAATAAGTTCATGTGAATTTCAAACTTGTTTAATTTACTGCAGTATCTGAACTCCTAATGCAGTGAGAACAGGGACTGGAGTAAAAAGTCAGGAAGAGATGCAGCTTGACTCGTGTATTAAATCAAACACTAGCACAGCATTATCTACACGGAGCGTCGACTTTCAAGAGGATTTAGGAGATGTTAACATGCCAGAAGACATCCTAAAAAGTTAAATGTGCAGGTTATTCACAGTTTTTCATGGGGCCATCTATAAAGAACAACTTAGTTGTAGAGATGTTACTGTTTTTTTTTTCTGTTTCTGTTCTGTGTTGGATTAAAGTTCTACTTGAGGAAAATGATTGAGAGTATACCAAAATATATATAAATCACAAACAACTTACAATTGCCTCCCGTTGCAGTGGATATAACTTCTGATAGTTTTCACATGCTTGCACCACACAGCTGTAGATCCAATGCACACACCTACCTAGGTACTGTTTACCCCTCTGTGGCTTCTCACCCTGACCCTACTGCATTCACTCTCCGTGTTTGGCACCCCATCAAACCACAAACTCATGCTCAGGAGAGAAGTCCAGGCTGTGAGAGGCAGCTACTGCTGCACTGGTTGTCTAGCTATGGGATCCATATTAATGGTTGATAGTTTTCAGACTTATGTCAAAGCTTTACCACACAAAATCTAAGTTCATTCAATTTGTATTGAAAAATTGAATCCGTATTCAGTGCAAATCTGAAAAGTTGTCAATTTTGTGAACCAAATCTCTGTATTTCTGGTTGGTTAGATTTTGTTTCTTCCTCCTTGTCTAGATTTTGGTTCACTCTTTGATCTGGAGCATGACCTCCCAGATGAGCTCATCAATTCCACGGACCTGGGGCTGACCAATGGGGGGGACGTCAACCAACTCCATACCAGTCTTGCAGGGCTTGGAGGAGGGATTATTTTAGGAGGCCACGATGCCGCTGCAAAACACAAACAGCTGTCTGAGCTCCTGCGCGCTGGAGCGCCAGCACAGCAAGGTGGCCCTACTTCCAACAGCACAGCACCCGGAGCTTCCATGGGGATGATGGGGGGCGTCAGTGTCTCCCCTGGTGGACCTCAAGGCATGCCCCCCCAGGGCCAGCAGCAGCAACCTGGATTAATGCAGCAGGTTGGGATGGTTGGAGGGGTGGCGGCACTCAATCGGGCAGCTGCCATGATGGGTGCCCAGAAGGGCAACCCTGGACAGCAGCAGCAAGGCCTGATGGGGGGGCAGGTGATGAATGGCTCGCCAAGAATGGGTTACCCTGGCAGTGCAGGCATGGGTAACAATAGTAATTTGTTGGCAGAAACCCTACAGCAGCAGCAGGGCAGTCAGCAAATGGGACCTGGGGGTCAGGCAGGGATGAGACCACAGCAACCCGGAGCACTGAACAAGGTAAGCATACTCAACCCAGCAGGGTCAGGTATTACAAGAGACCCTGGTTGTTGGCCAGAAAAGTAAAAGTAACTCTTGGTAGCATTTATTTTATAGGAACTTATCAAGTGGGGTGAGTTGCCAATTGTAACTGAGGCTAAGATTTTTTAAATACCGGTCTCAACAAAGTGTGGTATTGTTCCTTTGCTGAATCCCACACCTGCATGTTGTTCTCTTCAAATACGAAAAGCACTGACGTATTCTTCTACGTTGGAATGTGACATTGTTAAAACCTTTTGAAAATGTATATTGCAAATGCCATGTATTATATTAAGGACATGGTTTACACACAAATTTGAATTGAAATTATTATGGTTCACTAAACTAAAGCATCTAAAATTATAATTGGGGGGTGCCTTTCGCAGCCCACTGCCACATATAAAATATTGAAGTTTGACATTTCTGGTCTGGATGGAATTTATGAATTTGACCTGTATTGAGTTCAGTAAAGTAATCAAAAAGGAAGAATTTCACCCTAAAAGCTGTTTACATTTGGTTTGAGTCAGTGAAACAGTATTTTCAGGTTTACAGCATGACATGCAAACACATCTTTCCGACCCGAGTGACGCTGTAGATTGTAGTAGTTGCTCATCAGAGACTGCTGAAGAATAATTTCCAGAGGAGGTTCAGGTGTGAGTGTGGTTATGTGTTGGACTCTGTGGTATCGATGGTTAACCTCCTTGCTAGTCAACATGTCACTCAACGGATGTGATTTTGTTCTAAAGGTGTGAAGGCAGTATTGCAAGCGTCACACAACTAGTAGCTCAAACAGGTTTTTTTTGTTATATCCTGTAGTAAAGATATGCATCAGTAAAGTTTATGTATTCTCCATGTTCATTGCAGATTCCCCTGGGTGTGCACAAAGTAAATTCTGCAGTTAAAGCTTTATTTTCACTTAGAGTTGAGTCGTAGGGATGAACAGGTTAATTAGACTTTAATGGTCAAAGAGCAACAATTAACAAATCACTTCACGTTGTTACTGTACTGCTGTTAAAATAAATACTAGTTTGGAAAGATGCTGAAGTAGCTGTAAATACTGTTGGCTGAATCTGAGACCATAGTTGGTGGTGACCTTGTTTGCGAAGCCTAGATTGTGTCTGTGGTATTCATTTATTGTGGAGAGCAAAGTAAAGTTTGGAGAAAGAGGAAAGTTATTCCATGTTGTCTCACTAGCACCGTTCAGTGACACTGTCAGAGGAACAGTCCAGTGTAGTTGGATAATATAATAAGTTTTTATTCTATTTGATGACATTGTAATACCTCCCATATTTCTGACTATCAGATGACTAGCTGCTAAAATCAATCAATTTCATAGGTTATGAAAGATCTTCATAACTGTATATTTCTTCCTCACTCTGCTCTCTAGATGAATATGATGGCCAACGCGGGCCCCTATGGTGGTCCGTACGGCCAGTCTGCTGGCCAGGGGCTGCCTGGAGCAGGGCTGGGCCCACAGCTCCAGAACAAGGCGGGCCTGCCCAACAATATGGCCACCCAGTTCAACATGGACAAGAAGCCACCACAGGGCCAAGGCATGCCTGGGATGGTAAGATTTGTTTGTTTATTTTCCATACAGGCGAACAAACGCCGTAGTCATCATAGAAAAATAAATAAATATAAATATGACCTTTTTTGTAACCTATGTGTTGACAATCCCACTCACATCACGCAATGGTTGGCTGGGTGTGAGAAGGTGAAAAACCAGATTTCTTTTCTTCTTTTTTCATTCTTCACACAGCTACTTTCAATACTTCTTATGTGTACAAACAAGTACAACACACCCTCTGTATGACTGCAGGCTTTTCAAAGCCCCTTTGGAGTGTGGCCATTTTCAACAGTAAACACACTCCTTCAGACGTGATCTGACTACATGTGGTACAAACTAGTTAGTTTTGAGCATAACCCCACCTTAAGAGTCACAGACTCACGGGTCATATGAAGGCTGATAATCCGTCAGTGCAAAGAAAAGTGCCAACACAGCTGTGTGAATGTTGCTGCATCATCTTTACTGTAGAACTCAAGATGTAAAACGCAAAAAACTTGGTCGCTTCAGATGGTGTGATAGATGAGACTGCTGAGGATCAAAGGCAAGACCCATTGGCAGACCTGGATCAGTTTCTAGCCAATGGCTTGTTATAAAATCCTATTTTTTTTCCCCCCTATGTGACTTAACAAGGCTATTAGTGTCTGATAAACAAATGAGTGTTCATGTGTATGAATGGAAGTGCCAGAGAAACCAGTTCCTCCACAACTAAAAGCTCAAAATACGAAAACACATCTGGACCACTTGGCTTGAGCAAGAGCGTTTTGGCATTTAACTTCATGTCAAACTTTTCTTTGTTTGTCACAGTACAGCTCTGTGATAACAGTGCTGACAACTGTAGTTCGTAAAACTGACACTGATAAATTTGTCAAGTTTTCGTTTGCTAAATCCTGGCAACAGGACTTTAAGCTTTTTAAACCCTGTTTTATATTTCGTGAGGTTCGTTGTGTAATTCCTGCTTAAGAATTGTGGCAGGCTCATATTTGTTGTCTCCAATAAGGAGTGTATGGGTGGTGCAGCTGTACATAGCTGCATACCAGTGTCATTAGGAAAAGGCTCACATTTACAGACACATTTGGAATTGACTGGAAGAAATTAGTGACTGGTAGCCAAATCACCTGCAAATGAGCGTACAGATGTTTCAGACAAACTCATAGACATCTCAAAGTGGAAGCCGCTCGGGTTGAGTCCTCTGGTGAATAAGAGGAAAATCATCGACATGGTTGTCTTACATGGGATTTGGGTGAAGAGGTTGCCATTACAATAAGCCTTCCTACCTCAATGAACTTAATCCTTTCAAAGTAAGATCCATCAAATGCCCAAGAGCTGCCCAGTCAGTGAGTCACTGTAAGTTGACTTCCCTGTTTATAAACTGTATGTGAATGTACAAAGTGTCTCTGAAAATTATGTTTTTGTTTAGTTGAACTCTCAATTATCTTATCGGTTTTTGTTTATCTTGTGTGTGCCTGTCGCTCTGCCACATGCAATACGCATCATATATCAAATCCCAATTACTGGTATCAGAATTAGACTGATAAATGGGCCTGGTTAATGTTAGCTTATTGTAGATATAATGGTATTGGTCTATATGTTGGCTGATAAGTAACAGGAAATTCCAAACTAGGTTTTAGGTGAAATTAGAATCTGTGTCTCCATTACATAGGTTATAGCGTGCATCTTGGTCACAATTCTTCAAAACTCAACCAGGGGGTTATATATCAAGGGTTTTATGTGTTTTTCATTTAAGAAAATTATGATTAGCCAACGTAGTTATCGGATTCTTTTAAAATGGATGCATGTCAAGTTGTAATTTGATTGAAAGTTGGAAATTAGAGAAGTTTGACCTGTAGTCAGCAGAGCACTGTGTCAATTGCACTGTTGCATTACAAGCTCTCGTTATTTATAATGCTTATTGCTATTTGGTTGTATTTTATTTTTTCAATGAAAACTTACAGAATAGCTAGAAGCATAGTTCTTAAAGTGACTTTTTGCTCCTTTATTCACAGCATCTTAGTGTTTGAGTCTTTTGCTACTCTTACTGGGTTTCTTTGGGTCCTTTTTTTTAAATAATTTTTCCAATAATCTGAATTTTAGGCTTAAAATGTCTTAAATTGTATGAATTGTATGTCTTAGACATCGAATAAATTAAAATTGCATTTACTTTAGTCATGCTTAGTACGTGCAAGTTCAGGCTTCAGATCTGGCTAAAAGCACAGCGTATTCAGTGCTTGGGTGAAGTCTTTAGAGTCTGCTGCGCCCTGTGCAAGACAACACTCAAACATTGGATATAAAAGCATTAGAGTTGCATTGGAAGTCAGAAATTATCAGTTGAATTTCCATGTTGAATGTGAAGAAATTCACTTAGCAATTCTGCGACTCTGATTTTCCCTCATATTCTTAGTACTTTCTTTTCCAGTATTGACTTGAAATAGGTCTTTGAAACCTTCAGAAACCCTGTTTTTAACACTTCTGATTAATTGTTATCAGACCAAAGACATGGCCTTTGCTGAGTTGATGAAAACCTTTTTATAGTTAATGCTTCACCTCTCTGTATATACCACATCTACACATTGGCAGACTAGAGATTTTGAAGTAAGGAAATCTGCTGTACATGTAAAGTCTAGGAAAAATTATAATTGAAATGGCTAGCTGTGGAGTGCTTACCAAATTGGTCATTGGAAAAGGTCCCATAAGACCTGATCATGGCAGTCTTGCAAATAATTGTTGTTTTTGTTAATTCTAAGACTCATCTGTGACTCCCCTCTGTCCCAAGGCCTCTCAGCAGCAGCCCGGAGCAGTGGGTGGCGTGTCCGTCGGAGGAGCAGCAGCAGTGGGAGGTGCCCAGGTTGGGCTCAATGCCGTGGGGGCGGGTCCCGGCACAGCGCCCCCTACGGCAGACCCCGAGAAACGGAAGCTGATCCAACAGCAGCTGGTCCTCTTGCTCCACGCGCACAAGTGCCAGCGGAGGGAGCAGGCCAACGGGGAAGTGCGGCAGTGCAACCTGCCCCACTGTCGCACCATGAAGAACGTGCTCAACCACATGACTCATTGCCAGGCTGGCAAGTCCTGCCAGGGTGAGTCTGTTGAATTATGCTGATTGCTGGTTTTATAGTATGTGGTTTATATCATAAACACTAGCCAGTGTTTAAAGTTGTCATGTATCTGTAGCATTTTTCTTCTTTCTTTCTTTTTTTTGCTTGTTCTTGTTGGTTGTTTATAATCCTCTTGGTTTGCCACCCAGTTGTTCGTTGTATCAGTATGAGTTACACTCTCTCTCTCTCTAGCTGGCTGTTCTACTGTACTTTTCATTCTGTCCTTCTCTCATCTGGACATAGTTTTATTGTACTGAATGACTCATACAATGACTTTCTTAGTCACTGGCTTCTCTCTTCCTTTCTACCCTTTTTGACTTTTTTCCCTTTTTTTTTCTCTCATCCTTGTCTCATTATTCATCTCCCTCCTTCACTCTGTCACCATTTCTCATTTCACTTGTTCTCCCTCTCTATCCCTCTTCTCTCTTTCTACCTTCTCTTCCCCTTTCTCAAACATCTCTCCATTTCTATCTCTTCTCCCCCAGTGGCGCACTGTGCCTCATCCAGACAGATCATCTCTCATTGGAAGAATTGCACACGACATGACTGTCCTGTATGCCTGCCGCTGAAAAACGCCGGAGACAAGAGGAATCAGCAGTGTGAGTGTGTCTGTCTGTCTGTCGCTGAGAGGAATACATGCTCATGGCTCTTCATAAATTATTATTATTATTGAATTATTACACATCATCTACTTTGAAATGCTTGAAAATCCTGTAACTAAGCAGTGTGTGACATAAGGCTTGAATTCACAGATGCTCACCCTTTGTTATCTCTTCCCCTCTCATTCTCTTGACAGCTCTTGTTAACAGTGCCGGGGTAGGTTTGGTGAATTCTTTAGGTTCAGTCGTGCCTGGTGGACAGTCCAACACTCCAAACCTGAACCCTCCCAACCAGATTGACCCCAGCTCCATAGAGAGGGCCTATGCTGCACTAGGTCTCACTTACCAGGGCAACCAGATGCCACAGCAGTCGCCACAGGCCAACATGCCAAACCAGGGGCTGCCGGGCCAGCCTGGCATGAGGACTTTAAACACCATGGGTTAGTTTGTATTTCCATTGTTCATATTACACATGATCTGCTAATCTACTATGACTATCACTGAGTATGGATATGATATGAATTGGATTGTGAACAACATGTACAACAAAATAATCTCAAATCCAAGGTTTACATACCAGAGCTTTCAAGCGCATCTCATGTTTTTCATCAGCGAATTGGGCTGGCTCAGGTGTCATCACAGTACCAATGTGTGCAACTGAAGTAATGTGATAACAGGTGTTTGTTGTCTTAAATGACGGATGTGAGTGGTGGGCTTGATCCCTCCCAGCTGTCCACTGACTCCTTGTTGATGACTTTGATTTGTATTTCACGGGATAGCTTCACTGTCACATTGTGTGTAAGGAAGAAAATAATCTCTAGCTGACTTTGAATCACTGTAATTCTTTAGCTCGAAAATTTTGCTTGTTGAAGATGTATCTTATGTCAGACCTATATATTTCAATCACAAACATTGTTATCAGTATTTACCACTTAAACCATATCCCTGGGGTGCCCTGGTAGCTCAACCTAGTAGAGCTGGATCTCCGTGTACAAAGTCCTTGGGGTGATCCAGTGCTCATGGGTCTGACCTGTGGCCCTTTAGCTGCGTGTCATCCTTTTCTTCTCTCTCACCCTTCCTGTTTATCTTGAGCTGTCCTATCAAATAAAAAGCAAAAAGCATATATCTGATACTCACAAACATCTCTTTCCAGGAGGAAACTCTATGGGAGTGAATGGTGGAGTGGGTGTGCAAACCCCTAACCAGTCCACCCTACTGCCAAACGCCATGTTGCACGGCAACATGAATGCACAGAGGTAGGACTCTGTTCATTTACTTTTTACTTTGAAGTCAGGCTGCTTACATATAAGAGACTTTAACCAAGTCAAAATTATTTCTGTACTGACGGAAGTCTTATTACTCTTTTCCACTTCTTCCAGCTTGATGAATGATGGTGTGGGGAACCTGGGCTCCATGCCTACGGCAACTCCTCCTTCTGCTCCAGGCATGAGGAAGTCTTGGCATGAAGACATCACGCAAGACCTCCGCAACCACCTTGTCCATAAGCTGTGAGTCTGCTGTCCCCAAAAAATCTCACTATGGGCGAGGGCTAATGAAATAAAACTAATTTTATTGTCAGATCATTTTCAGTGCTTGATGTAAATTGGGTGCCTCTGTCCTCAATTTAATTGTAGCTGTGTGTCCTTTCTGTTTGTGCATGTGTGAGAGCAGCGTGCAGGCCATCTTCCCCACTCCTGATCCGGCTGCGCTGAAGGATCGGCGGATGGAGAATCTAGTGGCTTACGCTCGAAAAGTAGAGGGAGACATGTACGAGTCAGCCAACAGTAGGGTAAGAAACTAACACATGTAGAGTGTGAGGTATCGTAATATCAGTTATCACTTTCCAGTTGAGGTATGAGGAAATAAAAGTATTTACTTTGTGCGCTGGTGCGATCTATCCTGTGACCTCCCACATTTGTGTCGCATCCCTTCCAGGCGGAATATTACCATTTGCTGGCAGAGAAGATCTACAAGATCCAGAAGGAGCTAGAGGAAAAGAGGAGGACAAGACTCCAGAAGCAGGGTATGATGCCGGGCCAGACCGGCATAGCCTCCCCGGGCCTCCCACAGGGGCCTCCCAGCATGGGACAACCTCCCATGGCCCCAGGGCAACCCCCAAGTAAGTAAACATACTGTTTTAGATCAATGACGATCATGTTGCCTGGCACATGTCAATCTATATACATGATCCTAAACACTGATCAAATGTTGTAGTTAGTTTTATTGTGGGGGAAAAAAAACAAGCACACTCGCATACAATGTGTCTCAAACATTTAAGTATGATGAGGTTTGTTTGCTCCACTCTTTCTCACCGTTTGAACATCAGTATGTGGTTTAACTTGTATTCAGTGATCCTAAAGACAAGATCTGTGATTTCTGTAACTGTTATCACCCTGTCAGATGGTCCTCACGCTGATCTGTCCATGGTCCGACCGGCTGGACCCAATCAGATGGTCAACAGGATGCAGAACCCTGCAGGTACGTCTCTAATAACTAAATGACATCTTGACAGCCAGACTTACAGAAATGTGTTTTGCAAGGAGACTTGTAGAGGGTAATGATAGGTGTTTGATAAAACTGTAATTCTGTCGTTATCCGGATAGCACCTTGTGCTTACAACCCTGACTATGTTTTATGCCTCAGCATGCAAGTACATTTTGCCAGATAAAATCCTGTCTGACTAGCCATGTTCATTTTGCCATGCCTCATTTCTGCCCTCCTTCACTTCCAGGAATGAATCAATTTAGTCAGATGGGGATGCAGTCAATGGGTCAGAGATCGACGCCTCCTCTTCCTCTTAATGCTCCTATGAACCAGGTGAGCGTCATGATCACCATCTCTATCACAGATTACTTTGCGGTCACATGAACTTCATGCTTGGAAGTCACAGTTGATTTTTGTAAAATCTATACTCAGGCGTGCTAAAGGTTAAAACCATGTTGCTCTCTCTGTCGCATTGAGTGTATTCAAGTTCACATTTGCAGAAACAAATTAAAGGTCATGCAACAGTACATGTTACTCTTTTTTTTATTTTTTTATTATTATATTCATCCAAGACTTCACATGTCCCTTGTTGTCTTGTTTCCAGATGGGTATGGGAGCAACAAGGATGGGTCAGCCCAATGCCGGACAGTTACAGAACCAGTACCTCCCTCAAGGGCAGTTCCCCGGGTCCAGTCCTGGACGTGGTTCTGGTCCTGTTGGCATCAATCAGCCTGGACCACAGAATGCTGTGCCGCCGGTAAGAATTAGGTGTCTTGTAATCGATAGATGAGTTTGATTGTCAGGGGTCTTTGCAATAGCAGAGAAAGTATGTGATACATAAGAAATTCAAACAATCAGTCAGATGTGGGAAACTTTCCGAATGAATGCAATTGAGGACCAACGTAGGCATCAACTCTTAGAGCAGCTTTGTGGGAATTGATAGATGGTGATGAATACTGTAAAATTAACTGAACTGTCTTCAGCATTTTGGCACATAATTCATGACCACTGTGAGAGATGGGTTACAGTTCTTTATTGGCTCTATCTAGAAGTTTTAAGACTGATTATTTGTGCTTTTTGGCTTTCCTCCCTATTCGATTAATTCACTTTCTGGGTTTCAAAGAGACAGATTGGAAGTGTCCTTACTCAAAAGTTGCAGAGTTGTGTATCTGGTAAAACTAGTCTCTCTAATTAGTCAGACCCATGTTGTTTTTAATTGTTTCTTCTATACCCTGGAAATCTATCTTTTGCAAAGTTTCTGTAAATAAATAAAAAAATCTAGTTAAAAAAATAAAGAGCAGGAACCCCTGGCTTTTCTTCCTTCTCTAACCTCTGTGTCCTATGCTCTGTAGCAGAACCAGATGTCAACGCCACCCTCCCACTCAGCCAGCAGCCCTGCAGCACAGTCTGCCTCTTCTGCTCCAGGCTCCATGGGACCTGGTAGTGCCAGTGGTCCTGGGTCTCTACCCAACCTGCCTCCATCCTCCACCTCCAACCAGCCCAACTCCTACCCTCACTGCCCACCAATTAGAACAAACTCTCCCTCACCAGCACGTAGCTTAACGCCTCAACCGCATCAAACACCCCCGACGTTACCAGGTTCTCAGACCCCACAGCCACACACTCCTGGTACACCCCAATTGCCCCCTCCACAGCACCAACAGCAACAACAACAACAACAGCAACAACAACAGCAACAACAGCAACAACAGCAACAACAGCAACAGCAACAGCAGCAGCAGCAGCAGCAGCAGCTGCAGCAGCTTCAACAGCAGCAGCTTCAACAGCAGCAGCAGCAACAGCAACAACAACAACAACAACAACAACAACAACAACAACAACAACAACAACAACAACAACAACAACAACAAGTTTCACAGCAGCCATCGGGGCAGGCGGTGCACTCTGAGAAGGCCAATCAGCCTCCACAGCAAACACTTGGGGGTGTGCCTTCTTCAGGCCCCCAAGCAGGCCAGGCTTCTTCAGTGCCTACCCAAAATGCTCATGTGCCACTACAGCAGCCGCAAACCCCAGTGAGTAGATCACCCTGCTTTTATTACTTTTCCCAAACCAGGCCTTTTCCTTAAACCACCTGTTTATGCCTCATTCAGAGATGGTCTTGGCTTCCTGCTTGTGTGTGAGCATTTGTTTCTTAAGTGCATGAGGGTCTTGATCCACTAGGTTTTGCCAATGAATGGAAAGTCTTCAAACTACTTAACTTTGTTCACTTTTCCCTTTAAAATATTGAAACGTCACTCCATTTCTGCCCTGTTGCTACAGCTATCTCCGAAGCCTCCACTGACAGCAGATGGTCAAGTGTCCTCTCCAGCCTCAGTCAGCAGCAGTACTGACCCCAGCTCCCAGCTTGCCCAAGTGGACGGTTCTGCTCCCAGCCAGGAAGACATCAAAATGGAAGTAAAGAAGCAGGAGGAGGATGACGAAGGGGCTGACAGCCAAGGAGAGGGCAAGGGGAAGATGGGCAAGGGTCAGCCTGACGTGAAGACGGAGGAGAAACCAGAGGTAAGATTGTCCACGTCCTTACTGACGTTCTTATCTGAGTGACTGAAAATGTCTGAAATTATGTTTAATCTTCCTTTCAGATAAAGAAGGAGAAGCCGTCGGGAGATGGGTGTAAAGGCGAGCCCATGGATACATCTTCGTCCTCGGTGTCATCGTCAGTAGCAGCAGGTGAAGACAAGAAGCCGGAGGTGAAGAAAGAGCCCAAAGAGGAAGAGGATGGGTCAGGGTCAACAGCCTCCAGCAGCTCCCCAGCCAGTGCTCAGAGCAAGAAGAAAAGTAAGTTTGGACTCTTTACACTCTTCAGAGGATCCACGCAGCACTCAAGGGGGGCATGATTTATCCACACAAAAGTGTACAAGTTTTGGTGAACTTTAACACGTGAATCTGCGTTGTTGACCAGGAAGCTATTGTAGCTCACTAGCTGTGTTGCACCTTTTTAAAATAGTCCACAAAACAAGAATTGTTTGCAGACAGTTAATGGCACAGATGTTGAAGGTACAAATGCAACTTCTGAATAAACGGTGTGAACGAGGGACGGACATTTATATCAGCGCGTCATCTGTATTAGCTGATAAAGCCTTCAAAATTAAACATGGGCATTTTCTTCCAATATGACAGCCCCATCAGACGACACTTAAATTATACCGTTAACTAGGCTAATTGCTTGATAAGGTGTCACCAGCGTATTTTGGACGAGCTGAAAATGTCACTATGCCGCAAAAGAGGGACCCAAAACGCATAGCAAAATTGCTATTTGCATTGATTGCTCAGCGTCGGCCTTGTCTTTTTGTTTTGTCTGTGATCTGATTTGTTTTTCTTTCTCCCTCTCTTCCAGTCTTTAAGCCGGAGGAGCTGCGTCAGGCTCTGATGCCCACCCTGGAAGCTTTGTATCGGCAGGACCCTGAGTCCCTTCCCTTCCGTCAGCCGGTGGACCCCCAGTTACTGGGAATACCCGTACGTATTCGAACTAGTAACAAAACTAACCTGGTAAGGGACTGCACTGGCTGCCATTTTGCTTCAACTCCTCTGAAAACGTAGCTTTTATTTTGTTTGTTTTCCTTTTTTCATCTTTAATATTTTTTCTCCATTGTCATAGTTGTCATTTTTTCTGAATTTAATTTATATACATGCTTTCAGTTTCTTTAATCTTTTAGTTGATTTTTCTCCCATTGCATGTCAGAAGTTAAGAAAATGAGATTTGGAAGTTTGTGTGTGTTTGTGTGTGGGTGTGTGGGTGTGTGTGTGTGTGTGTCTGTGTGCTCTTTTTTTGAAACTTCTTGTCATTTGTAAATCAAAGCAATGACTCTTATGAACATTTGCCTTTACTTTGGTGGAACTGTAGAGAAGGACAAAAAGTAAATGATCTATGCAAATCAGATTTAAAACAACATCTTTTTATTGTGTGATTTGGCTGAGTAATTACAGATTAAACTATATGATATAACATGACCCAAGCATCCATCAGAGTATTACAATTGCCTAATCAATATATAGTTCTCCAAATACAGTAAGGAGACATATTGACATTATGTATTTCCATGAGCAAAGGGAAAACATAATTAGATTTACCAACAGTTCATGAGCCAGTTGCTTTCATTTATCACTTTTAATTTTGTTTGACTTTTTGCCATCAAATTTTAGGTTTTAATTTGAATTATGATTTTTGTAGTTTTCATCCTAGTATTCCATTGCTAGCTTTCTAGTTCAGTTCCTCACCAGTAGTAGTGTGTTAGTGTTCAGGTGGGCAGTGTGTAGAGGTGGGACAATACCTTTACTCTCATTGCATCCAAATTAGGGGGGGGAAACAAGTACTTTATAAGCCTCAGTATGTACTTGCATACAGGTAAAAACCATTGTTGTATTGAAAACAGAGTGACAGGGTCCGTCCTCCCACTGCCTCATGCAATATGAAGTTAAATAAATGCCATTTTTAGAGCAGTGATGAGCGAGCACCAGGCGATTGGCTCACCTCTCTTCAGAAACCTCCACAGTCAAGTGATGCAACGCCATTTTCAGATAATCATTCAGCCACTTATTGAAAATGTAACTTACACATAAACCAGTGGGATTCATACACACAGCAGTGTTGTGATATAAATTTGGCTCTGTAGTTGACATGGTAATATGCATCACTTGTTTGTTAATGTGAGTGGTTCCATTCAGAGATGAGGGTCTGTTTCCTAACTCTTGTTGCCATGGTGACACTGAGATGGGCCCTGCTCTTTGAAACTCACACCTCCTCCTTTTTTTTGTTTTGGTTGAATCTCCAAAAAGCCTTTTTCTAATCCTCGCCCTCTTCTCCGCTCCTTTCTCAAATGGTGTTTTAGTTTGAGAAGAAGCGGAGGGCAGACAACAGGAAAAGAAAAAACAGCTTGGAGGCTCATCCCGTCCCTCTTACATATGCTTCACCTCAGCACTGTTGGCATTAACTCTGCCATCATATTGCCACTCATGCTGCTGGCGTTGTTAATGCCGACCACTATGTTGCTAAAAACAGTAAATCTCTGTCTGCCTGTTGCTGTTGCCACTGCTCTGTTCTTCTTGGTTTTGCACCCTGATTGCTTCCTAGGCCTGAAAGCTTTGTTTGCTTTCAATCTTCAGCAGAGAACCAGTCCCCCAGCTGCTGAACAGTGTTTAGCACTGTGGCAAAATGAGCAAATGTACCTTCTTTTTTTTTTTTTTTTTTTTTTTTTTTTAAAGACAAATTGATGTATAATGATTTTGACAAGGCTTTGCTTCAGTTGCAGTAGGATATGTAAAATGTAATCTCAATTGTAGCTAGTTTTTGGTAATATGAGCGGCAGAGGACCAGACAGACTTGTGGCGGTCGTCTGGTCCCTGTTCGCAGTGCAGATAGGGACTTGACTTTAACTGTAGGGTGCAAAGCAGAGAGCTGGAGGGCAGAAGTTGTCATGTCTCTCTGTTTGCACGTGAACCTTCTTCTCTGCAGTGCTCAACAACATTGTCCCCCTGCACCCTCTTCTCTCCCTACTCTGGTCCCACCCGGTCGACGCCTTCATCACACCTTCACCTGACGACCACAACGCTGCTGATGATGATGATGATCATACTCTTCTTCCCCCATCTCTTTCATCTTGGTCCCTGTGATGACCAAACCCTCCCACCATCTCGCTGCTTTCTCTTCTCTCCCTCCTCTGACCCTTCTTAACTCCTGAACTTTACCTCCACCTGCCACTCAAATCCGGATGCCGGCCTTTCCCAACCAGGACTACTTTGACATCGTGAAGAATCCCATGGACCTGTCGACCATCAAGCGGAAGCTAGACACGGGACAGTACCAGGAGCCTTGGCAGTACGTCGAGGATATCTGGCTGATGTTCAACAATGCCTGGCTGTATAATCGCAAGACGTCCCGCGTCTACAAGTACTGCTCCAAGCTGGCTGAGGTGTTTGAGTCAGAGATCGATCCTGTCATGCAGGGCCTGGGATACTGTTGTGGGAGGAAGGTGAGGCTGGGGCGTGTATTTTTGTATTTCTAAACATATCTGGTCTAAGACCAGGAATATTCCCCTTGTCTTTTCTTTGTTTTGAGTTAATTAATTGTCAGAATTGTTGATGAGATGAGAAGACTAATGCTACTTTAATGTATGTGCAGTAAATATGAAGCTACAGCCAGTTAAGCTTAGCTTAGCACAAAGCCTGGAAAGATCTAGCCATGCTTTGTCCTACGGTAACTGAATCTACCAGCCAACTCCTCTTAAACTCACCACATCTTGTTTCTTTAATCTATTTCTTGGCTGGGAGCTGTTATTTTCTGGAGTCTGCACTGGTAAACCAAGAAATGGATTAAACAAACAAAATATAACCTGTTAATTACTAAGTTTTAGAACAGCTGGTTGTTGGATTTTGTTATCTTTAGAAAGTGATGGATGAACTTTATCTTTTTGTTTCTAGTTTTCAGACTAAGCTTATCAGCTGCTAGCTGTATAGCCTTATGTTTAACGGACAACCTGTTCCTTAAAACGATAGTCCTAGTATTGTATGTTGGTGTGAGGTGTGTATGTATGATGTTTAATTTATGTCCAACAAGTCTGCAAACAACTTTTTCTTTTTGTCTCTTTATTGTCACAGTTTGAGTTTTCCCCCCAAACTCTATGCTGCTATGGAAAACAATTATGCACCATCCAACGAGACGCTGCTTATTTTAGCTACCAGAACAGGTAAGGGCTGTCGGCACATTGGAACATAAGCAAACACAGACAAATGGCATTCACAAAGTGTTATCGACATTCAGACATTTTGCTGTGGAAATGCAGCCAATGAGATCAGCTTGTACGTGTCTTGTTGTATTTTGCACATAGATGTTATGCTGTAGGAAATATAATCAATCAGTGCAATCACAGATGAGTTTTTAATTTGGCTTCAACTGGTTACCCTGGCACCATCTCCATCCTTCATAGTTCACCGTTTTAATTTTCATTATGTTGTCATTCATAAAGTGGGCTCCAGTCTTCTCCAGCAGTTATTCTTTATTTCTTACACCATTGTTCCCCACTGAGAAAATGTACATGCACAACACATGATGGTTTGCATTTTCTGATATTTACTTGCATAAATATAGTGTGGTAGGGCAGGGTGTCCATTCTCACTACTAGAAGAAAGGTTCCCACTTTATAAATGAACTAAAAGGATGATGGGTCTCTGTTGCTTTATTTTTTCCTCATCCACCCTTTCATGTTTGGAGACTCGTATCCTCGCTCCCTTCCTCCTCCACAGCTCCTAGTGGTCTCTCATGTTGCTGTAATGTTGTTGTTGTTTACCACTGGACGTCTGACGCTAATCTTTGCTTTGCCTTGGCTCTCTGTCCTCTGTTGGTTGTTGTTCACATCCTGTCCGTCCCTCCCTCCTCCATGTCCCCCCTCTCCCTCTCTGTTCCCTCCATTGTCCTCGTCTGACCTGTAACGATTTATTTCACGCTTTTTTAATATTCATTTTGACTTCCCCTCCCCTCCCCATCTCCCTTCCCTTCTCCCCTTCTCTCCCTCCTTTTTTAACGCTTGTGATGTCTGCATTGGCCTGTTTTGGTGTGACCAATCATCCACTCCAAAATTTACGCGCAAAATCAAAACACGCCCACACAAAAACCCTGCATCACGATTGGCTGCTTCCTCCTGGCGACGACCTACCTTGCCCTCTGCCTCCTCCTGTGTGTCCGCCCCCTGGCCTGTCCTGCCCTGCCCTGATTGGCGGCTGCTTCTTCGTGCCCTCTCTGTGATTGGCTGTGCTGATGGCGAACGTGTAGTTCACCAAAATATGGGCTTCTTGCTGACAGGTACCACTTCTGTGAGAAGTGTTTCAACGAAATCCAAGGCGAGACTGTTTCCCTGGGGGACGACCCCTCCCAGCCTCAGACGTGAGTAGCATCACACTCCTGCCTTCCTCTCACACACAACAGCTCTCCCATCTAAATCTGAGAGTTTCTCAAGTAGTACTTGAATTCTGATTTTAGCAGCATCATAGATTGCATGTACCAGCTGTTACAAACTGTCAATTTTTTTAAGTGCACGCATGGGTTTCAAATAACTAGCTTTCATTTTTAAAATAGTTTGCAAACTCTTCTCTGGAGTTAAGTTTGGAATGAGAAATCCAAACAGTACAGAAAGGAAGTTCTTGAACATACAGTCCTTTTTAAAGTTTTTTTATTTCGTTTCATCTTTGTCATATAGTTTAATTCTTTCAGTATTCATATCATCAGCCCCTGCTCTTATCTGTGCCAAGAGTTTATATCTCTAATCTCTGAGGTGAGATGAATAACCAGTACAGTACCTATTGATAGCATATCTAGCAAGTGGGCACATTTTGAATTGTGCAGTTTCTGAATTGATGAAGATTCTACTCACAGCGTGCACTTTGCAGAGGACTACCTTGTTGTGTCTGTTACTGTAATTTGTTTTCTTATATTTCCAACAGGTCCATCAACAAAGAGCAGTTTCAACGAAAGAAAAACGACACACTTGACCCTGAGTTGTACGTCCCCTTCTTAACTTCAATTTATAAATTATTTTGCATTATTTCTCTGCGATTCTGTACAATCTATGGCTTGTATGTATTTAGTTTAAATTGTGTCATGATTTGAGCCACTTGAATTAGGTGCTTTAAAATCAATAATAATAAATAATGTGATTTGCATTTTTTTGTAATAAAAAAATAAAAGATTTAGCTTTTCATTTCAGAAATCTATTTTGGATGTCACAACTTTTTACTTATTTACTTTAATTACTTATTTAGCGACTTTGTAGCTCCTGCAAAGGATTTCCATTATGTGTGACATGTTGCCTTATTAACTTGGGATATTGTGTCTGTCTTTTGTCTCCTCATTCTCTCGCTGCTCAGGCTTGTGGAATGTATTGACTGCGGTCGTAAAATGCACCAGATCTGTGTCCTGCATCATGAAACCATATGGCCGTCAGGGTGAGCCAGCGCTCTCGCTCTCTCTCACACTCTCTCACACACACACACACACACACACACACACACACACACACACAGTCTCACACACACACACAGTCGCACACAGACACACACACACACACAGTACATTCTGTTACATGACTGGGTCTGGAAAATAAGTTTGGCCTTTTGTATTCCTTGAAAAGCTTTAGAATCATCCAAAAAAAATCAAAGGTGCTGGAAAAGCACGATTAAAGGTACAGTGTGTAACATTTATTAGGATCTATTGGCAGAATCGTTTTTCGTGTTTTTGTTACCTTTTTAGAATGAGCTATTTTTATCCAGAGAGGGAGCCCGCCATGTTGAACCACCATGTTTCTACAGTAGCCCAGAAAGGACAAGCAAAACACTGGCTGTAGATGGGGCCTATTGTTTTTTCCCCCGAGATGAGCAACCGCCATAGTTTCTCCCAAAAAAACTCACTAAATCCTACACACTGGTCCTTTAAGTCTGAATACACATTTTAATCAAAATTGTTCAAGTTCCCACATTTTGAGTTTGGACAAGGTTTAGACACTGAATCATAATCATCAGATCAAGAAGGAAAATGCCTGCCAGTAACACAGATACACATGCAAACAAAGTCCTGCAGCCCGAGTGTAGAGTGAGAGTCTCCTTCATGTGTGGTCTGTCTGTAATTAAAAGACGTAAGCAATTTCAGAGTCATTATAGTTGTTTAAAGAAAGGAAGACTGACATGAAAGGCAAAGTCATCTTCTTGATTAAAGCCACTTAATCTCATCATTGGTTTTAATTGTGACACAGCTTATGATTACCTGCAAATTTAACCCTCTACTATTTACTCCCTCCCTAACCACAGCTTTGTGTGTGACAACTGCCTCAAAAAGGCCAATAAGACGCGGAAAGAGAACAAATACGCAGCTAAAAGTAAGTGCAGTAACGCTGAGTTTTCAGCTCATTTCATGTCCGTGTTTTACAGCCCTGCCAGCTCCTTCCCTTCATTCATTTTCATTCCTTTTATCCTTCTTTCCTAGAGTTACACCCCTCTCTCTCTCTCTCTCTCTCTCTCTCTCTCTCTCTCTCTCTCTCTCTCTCTCTCTCTCTCTCTCTCTCTCTCTCTCTCTCTCTTCCTAACCCTTAGTGAAAATAAAATATCACCTGCAGTAAACCCAGTGTTAATGTTTCAATTTCCCTGTGTCAGTCATTATCCCTTTATTAGTCTGAAATTTTAAAGACATAAGAAGTCAGAGAGGAAGGAAAGAGAATATAAAATGTAAAATGAGCGAGATTGACAGAATGATAATGGTTCACACATTAAAGCAAACAAAAGGACAGCATAACCTTTTGATGTTATATTACCATCAACAGAGTGCTCAGACAAACAAAAAGGTGGTTGTTGAATGTATGAGTGGAGCGGCCTTAGCCAAGTTTTATAATATTTGGAATTGATTACAGGTAGTGTTAATGAAGATTACATTCATCATTTGTCTTCAGTGCAACTTTGTTAAAAATATCTTGCTCCAAAACATGAATGTTACCAAACAGGGGTTTCAATGCATTATTCTACGCATACTTTCATTTTCTTTTTACCTGGATAAGTTCCAGTCAAAATCCTAAATTGTCAAAGTTAACTGTATGTAGTCGGAGAGGGGTTATGTCCTTCAGCTGTTGAGAACTTTGAGGGTAGTAAAAGTGAGCATGATCACATACAGTTTATATCTCTCTGGTCTGTATTCCACCTCTCTTTCTTCATCCTTCTTACTGTCTTTTGCAGGGCTTCCTCAGACCAAGTTGGGGAACTTTTTGGAGATAAGAGTTAACGACTACCTCAAGCGGCAGAACCACCCTGAGTCTGGCGAGGTCACAGTCCGTGTGGTCCATGTCTCAGACAAGGTGGTTGAGGTCAAGCCGGGCATGAAGTCCAGGTAGGAGGTCAAATTTCAGTCTGCTGCTGCAGGTTTTGGGTGTGAGATGAGAGGAAATGACCATTGTGTATATTTAGGATCATGGCTTGTTGAATAACTTTAGATTTTTGTCACAATCACTCATCAGTGCAGCAAATTAATAAATGTAATAACAAAGGTTAAAGGTTTTATAGTGGAGGTTGACCACCTCCAACTTCACTATCATCATAGAAAATGAATTTACCTGTACGCTGCTCACTGCTTTGGCAAAAAAATGTCAATGTCCTCTTGGCTCTACAGTGAAATGCTGAACTCTGGAACAATTAAATATCACCATTTTATCCTGGTGCCAAATGGACTGGCACTAAATGTTATGTTCTGCAGCCCCAGACCACACCAGCATCCTTTGTGGTATAATGACCAAACATGTGCATGAAGTAGTACTAAAATAAAAATTAGACAAACGCATTGTAAAAATTAGCTTCATCAGCCAGCCTTAGTGTGTAATATTGTGAAAACCTGGAGGAGCTGAACCAGTGTGTTTTATAATAATCTGATTCATCAGTTTCAGTGTTTCCTCCAGGATTTTTATTTAGCAGCGGCGGCAGGCCCGTCCAAACACCTACTTGTAGTTCTACTGACTAAATTGCAATGTGAGCGGCAGCCAACGGGGGTGCATTATGTCAGCAAGATCATTTAAAAGGCAACCGTGACTACATTGTGCGTCTGCCCCATTTCTGATACCGTGGCGGCAGAAATTTAACAGCGGCGGGTCGCCGCTCCAAGATCAACATAGAGGACACACTGAGTTTGTGAAAATTAAAGAATCACTAATTCAGTCAACGAAAACCTTTTGAGTTTTTACAAGTTGAGGAAAGTAGAGACATGATGTCTATTCAGTCACAATCAGTGCTGCAACAGGTCAGACATCAGACGTTAGTTTGATAGTCACCAGATGAACATGTTAAGCCCAGTGGAGCCTGCGTCTGAAGTTGGTTTACAGTTGGTGCTGACAAGGAAGGTTTGGAGGGCTACAAAGGGCCGCACTTCTCCAGGACCCACTTCCTGAAGGAAACCCTGCACCGCCAGCAATTCCTGCACACCAGTGTAAAAACGAATGCACAAGGTTGTTGTTGCTAGGTAACAGCTGGTTGGCTATGGTGCACAGTAGAGTAGGTAACAGATAAGTCTGGATGGAGAGTTTGTTTACTGAAGTGTGGGAAATATTGTGTACACTGGTGGAGGATAAATGCACAGCAAAGTTTTATTTGAGAGGCAACAAACTAATTCAGTACAGCCCATTAATGAATTCTAGACTACCCATAGCTACGGCTATATGTAAAGTGTGTGTTGTAGTCTTATTAATAAAAAATAAGCCTTCATTCCAATTTCAAATCCATTTGGTAAAACTCTTCAGTTTTTAAGCTAAAATTGGAATACAACGCAGCTTTTTTTTTTTTTTTTTTTTTTTGAGTGAGCGAATCTTACTGGAGCGGGGTAAAATCTGTGTTGATATTGGAGAAATATAGAGCAGAGCAGCTTTGAACAGGGGAGAGGAGGGAACAAAAGGCCTCATCAGCAAGAAGTGGAAATTCTCCCTGCAGGAATGATTTCCTGATTACATTTTGGGGATTTTGTTGCTGTTTTCCTCACCCTGGCTTTTTTTTGTTGTCTGATTTTTTTTTTTTTGTTTCTTTTTACCACCAGGTTTGTTGACAGCGGAGAGATGTCTGAGTCCTTCCCATACAGGATGAAAGCCCTGTTTGCATTTGAAGACATTGACGGAGCGGATGTGTGTTTTTTCGGCATGCACGTTCAAGAGTACGGCGCGGACTGCCCGCCTCCCAATCAGAGACGAGTGTACATTTCTTACCTGGATAGCGTGCACTTCTTCAGACCTCGACACCTCAGGACTGTTGTCTATCACGAGATCCTGCTAGGCTACCTGGAGTATGTCAAGAGGCAGGGGTAAGAAACATTTACCTGCAAGAAACCACAACTGAGCAGCTGGAATTGGTTATCAGATTTCTCTAAATGAAAACTTTAGCATTATAGCTACACAGGCGTTCAAACATGAGCCCATTATGCAGTGTAAAGAGTATTCATTAAGCTTTGTGTTCCAGGCGCTGCTACAGACCGTTTTCAGCTGCATGAAAGTGAGCAAGCAGATGGAATAAAAGGAAATCAATTCACTTCTTTTATAATGAATGCAACTACATCTCGCCCTGTGTCAGGTTTACAGCGGGTCATATCTGGGCCTGTCCGCCCAGTGAAGGGGATGATTACATCTTCCATTGTCACCCAGCGGACCAGAAGATCCCCAAGCCAAAACGCCTGCAGGAGTGGTACAAGAAGATGCTGGACAAAGCTGTTTCGGAGCGCATTATCCATGATTACAAAGTGAGACATATTTAGTTGTTGGGCAGCAATGTGAATAAATGCATTTATCACTGCAACAATAGTCAAGCCCGAAGACATGGACTCATCCACAGTCTCCAACAGCATCAAACTGTTGCACAATATAAACCCTTTTGTTGTAATTTTTTAAAGTTAGTCTCAAAGTATATGTTCCTGTTTGGCATTTTTTAAGAAAACCGTCTCACCACAAGTTCCATTTATTAGCTGTTGTGGAGCTTTTGGTCATACCACATGCTCGCATTTCTTTTTTTGTTTAGAAAAATATGAAAAATGGAAATTTGAATATCTGGAATTCCAGAATAACTGGGTAAACTCCATCTGCTGATGAAGACCATATGATATGATTAGAAGACCCAGAACAGCTACTGAATTGACAAGAGATTGTTTTCTCAATGGTTGTTTTCCAAGGTCAAATATAAACCCCAAACCTCAAAAGTATGTTTGGTTGTTTCCTAAAACAGAGAAAAAGCATTAACGGCATTTCTCACACTTCATCCCTGTCCCTCAGGACATCTTCAAGCAGGCAACAGAGGACCGGCTGACCAGTGCCAAGGAGCTGCCATACTTTGAGGGTGACTTCTGGCCCAACGTACTGGAGGAGAGTATCAAGGAGCTGGAGCAAGAGGAGGAGGAACGGAAAAGGGAGGAAAACAGTACCTCCAATGAGAGCACAGATGTGAGTAGAAGTCTCCATGTAATCATCACTTTCAGGCTCATTTTAGTCACAAAATGTTGATGTTTTTCATGGCTATGTACTGACACTGACATTAAAACATTTACAGGCCACAAAAGGAGACAGCAAGAATGCCAAAAAGAAGAACAATAAAAAGACAAGCAAGAACAAGAGCAGCTTGAGCCGAGCCAACAAGAAGAAACCAGGGATGCCCAATGTTTCCAATGACCTTTCCCAGAAGCTCTATGCCACCATGGAGAAACATAAGGAGGTATGCAAGTCTGATTTTGATTATAACAATAGCTGCTCACTCCTTTATTTGATCATATGGCATAAATATAAGAACGTAGGGTGACTTATGTTATCAGAGTTATCACGTTGAATCTGTGAATGCACATCAGAGTAGATGCAGCTTATACAACAGCAACAACTGAACTGAACGTTTTACTGACGCAGACAAATAATGGGATAAAGCAGCTATAATCTATATTATGTGAAATGTGTCTCTTGTAGTGATGAACCCACAGAGAATGATCAGCAACTCTTTTTTTTTTTTTTTTTTTTTTATCTCATTGTGTCAGTTTAAGTCCTGTTGCTTTACTGTTATCTACTTTCATCAACTATTACCAACATCAGCAGGCAGCTGTTTCCAGCAGCAGCACGATACACTCTCCTCCCACCAGTTTCACAGTATTCTGCTGATCAATAACTGGTGCACAAAGAATCACAGCAATGAACCCACGAAAGCAGTGAAGATTACTCCACAGAGCACCTTTTTAACCTATGAGGGGCGTTAACGTCCATAAATGACTCAAATGTTTAACGTCAGTAAGTCGTCTTATATCCCACAAACCATTGTTGAGCTAACATTAGTTAGTGACTGCTGATTTTACTAATTAACAAACTACAAGAGAACCATGACCGACCGGAACCAGAAAAGGGCAAAAAAGCAAACTGACTCTGCTGTAAAACACACTGTGGGCGTTCCTCGTTTCAAAATCACATAACAGACTACTTTTTGACGTGACTGTGACTTAAAGATGATACAAATGAATCATTAATCAGTGTAGATGCTAACGTTGTAATTGTTGGTGTGGACGGCCCTTAAAGGTACCTACAGAAATTGGATGATGTGATTTGTTGTAATTTTATTTATCTTCCTGAATGTATGTATGTATTCTAAATATTATATTAAGGCCTGTCTGTATGAGCAGGGCCTCAATCAGAAACATACAGCTGATCCTTTCCACTCTATTTGCAAGGTCTTCTTTGTCATCCGCCTCTCTGCTGGCCCCACCGGCAACTCGCTCCCCCCCATCACTGACGCGGACCCCATGATGGCCTGTGACCTGATGGATGGCCGCGATGCCTTCCTGACTCTGGCGAGGGACAAGCACCTGGAGTTCAGCTCTCTCAGGAGGTCCAAGTGGAGCTCCATGTGTATGTTGGTGGAGCTGCACAACCAGAGCCAGGACCGCTTCGTCTACACCTGCAATGAGTGTAAACACCATGTTGAGACTCGCTTCCACTGCACCGTCTGCGAGGTGAGAATCAGGACTTGTCTTTGTCCTTTTTTTCCTGTTTTTCATCTTCAATTGAGTGTGCCCACAATGAGCTGGTTAAACTTATTACACTCCTTTTCGTTTTCCACACTAAGCTGCCGTTTATCACAAACTGTGTATAATAATAAAAATAATAAAAGATAAAATAACAATAAAAACTTTATTCTTGTGTTTTAGTGCTGACAAGATAAACAATATTTTTCCAACTTCGTCCCTTCATATAGCCAATTACACCATGTAGGTGTTGTATTTGATTTTGATCTGCATTCATTAGATAACTTTGTGACCATAAAACTTTATTCTACATTCAGATGGCTATTTGCCCTTGTTAACAGGTAGCATTAATTAGCTTAAATCACTGTTTTATACTTTTGTTGTTGTCTGATGTAATGAAAAACATCATTTATAACCATGATCATGGAGCTGTAGGCATCAGAAGTTGAAATATGAGCCAAGGCTTCAAAAGCACCACATAGTTTCAGACCGAACTGTACAAAAGTTTGTGAATGTATAATGTGATTTGAGTTTCACAGGAAAGTTTTAACATGTATTAATTAATCCAGCACTAACATACATATTTATTTTCCCATCATTCTTTTTTTCCTTTGCGTTTCCAGGACTATGACTTGTGCATCACCTGCTACAATATTAAGGGTCATGAGCACAAGATGGATAAGCTGGGGCTTGGACTGGACGACGACAGCAACAACCAGGCAGCAGCAGCTACCCAGAGCCCGGGAGACTCTCGCCGTCTCAGCATACAGCGCTGCATACAGTCACTGGTCCATGCATGCCAGTGCCGCAACGCCAACTGCTCCCTGCCGTCCTGCCAGAAGATGAAGCGAGTTGTTCAGCACACAAAAAGCTGCAAGCGCAAGACAAATGGCGGCTGTCCGATCTGCAAGCAGCTCATTGCTCTGTGCTGCTACCATGCCAAACATTGTCAGGAGAACAAATGTCCCGTCCCGTTCTGTCTGAACATCAAGCAAAAGCTCCGGCAGCAGCAGCTGCAGCACAGGCTCCAGCAGGCCCAGATGTTAAGGAGGAGGATGGCCAGCATGCAGAGAGTGGGACAGGCAGCCGGAGGGCCACCTGGAGGACCTGTTGCCGGACTTCCTTCCCCAGGGAACAATGGTACCACGGCACCCAGTACCCCAACTTCTGGTGGAACCCAACCCCCAACACCCCAGACCCCAACTCAGCAGATGCCTCCAGTATCGCAGCAGGGAATGGGTCCTGGACCTGGAGTCCAGCAACAACAGCAGCCAGGTGGGATGCCTCCACAAAGTGGCATGCCTCCTCAGCACCCCCTTCACCACCAGTTTCAGCAGATGGGTGGAGGAGGTGGGGGGATAATGAGCTCTCCCCAACATCAGCAGCAGATGCTTCCTCAGGTCCAGCAGCAACATCAGAGTGGAGCAGGGACCAACCCTCAACAGCTCCAACAGCACCCCAACAATTTGCCTCCATATGCCAGCAGACCCCCAGGCTCCTCCCCAATCCATCAGTCCCAGGGCAAACCCGTCCTTGGCTCCGCAACACCTCCCCAGCAGCAGCCTGGTGGCTCTGTCATGGCTGGAAGTGTTGGGGGCCAACAGCCTCCCAATCAGTCCCCGGGCCAGCCTCTCCTTCCACAGCAGCAACAGCAGCCCCTTTCTGGCCCTCCACCGGCAGCCGTAGAAATTGCCATGAAGATCCAACAGGTAGCCGATGCTCAGAGGAAGATGGCCCTGCAGAGACAAGCAGCCCAGGCAGCTGCAGGCTTGATGCCTCCTCACCCTCACCATCAACAGGGTCAGGGTCAACAGATGGGCATGGGACACCCCGGGCCTGTAGGCATGGTTGGACCCCAGGGCATGCCACCACAGAACCAAGCAGCAGTGGCAGCTGCTCGGGCCCATATGGATCAACCACAAGGTGCTCCGCCAGGGATGATGGTTGGTGCTGGTGGGCCCATGCAGCAACCCCCTCAGCAGGGTAACCTGCCCCAGGGCCAACTCCCCCCTCAGGTACAGCTTCAACAGCAGAGGATGGGTGCTCCTCTTCAAAACCCTCAACAGCAGCAACAGCAGTGGGCTGGCCAAGGGATGCCACCTCAGCAGAGGCAAGCCATGATGAACCAAATGGGCCATCCAGCCATGATGACAGCTCAACAACAACAGCAACAACAACAGCAGCAGCAACAACAGCAGCAGCAACAGCAGCAGCAGCAACAACAACAGCAGCAGCAGCAACAACAGCAGCAGCAGCATCAGCAGCAGCAACAACAGCAACAACAACAACAGCAGCATCAGCAACAGCAGCAGCACCAACAAGCTCAGGGCCATGCTGCCTTGATGAATATGGCGCAGCAGCAGCAAGGTGCTGGTGTCGGGGTCCCAGGGGGAGTGGTCCCTGGAGCTACAGGGGTCCCAGGAGTTTGTGCTGCTGGTGGGAACATCCCCCAAGCAGCCCTCCAGGAGTTGTTACGGACTCTCCGCTCGCCTAGTTCACCACTCCAGCAACAGCAAGTCCTCAACATCCTGCGGTCTAACCCACAGCTCATGGCTGCTTTTATCAAACAGAGGGCCTCAAAATACAAGGGGGTTCAAGGGGGCCCAGGTGGACCCGGTGGTGTCCCTGGAGGTCCTGGACCCACAGGGGGTGCCGTTGGTAATGTCATGGCAGGAGGGGGCCCACAGGTGAACATGAGTGCTGCAGGTGCCGGCCAGCCGGGTATGCACATGGGGGGTCAAGGAGGAACGAATGTCAACATGGCCACTATGGCCCAGCTCCAACAAGTACAACAGCAGCAGCAGCTACAACAGCAGCAGCAGTTACAACAGCAACAGCAGCAGCAGCAGTTACAACAGCAACAGAGGCCGATGCTCAGCAGTTTACAGCAGCAGCAGCAAGTGGCTGCTCTCCAGCAGCAGCAGCAGCAACAACAACAGCAGCAGCAACAGCAGCAACAACAACAACAACAACAACAACAGCAACAGCAGCAGCAGCAACAACAGCAGCAGCAGCAAGGGGGAGTAAGAGGCATGCAGGGCCAGGGGTCACAGATGGGAAATCTCAACAATCCTCAGTTTAGAGAGCTACTCCTGAGGCGGCATCTCCAGCAGCAGCAGCAGCAGCAACAACAACAACAGCAGCAGCAGCAACAACAACAACAACAACAACAGCAACAACAGCAAATGGGAGTAAATCATGGTCAGTTCCAGCAACCACAGCCACTACAGGGGCAGGGCTACATGGGACAACCTGGGATGCAGCCGCCTTCAGCAGGACAGGGACCACCTGGAGGTCCTCCTCTTGGCCCTCAGCAGCAAGGTGGTCCCCCAGGCCAGCCGGGGCAAGGTTACCCAGGGTCGGTGGTACAGCAGCAAGTCACAGCTGCACTCCAGCAGAGGCTCCACCATCAGCACCACCTCCAGATGCAGCAGCAGAATGCCATGGCTGGCCTTCCAGGGGGTGATGCAGGTGGAGGGGGTGTAGGAGGTCCTCAGCAGCCACCTCAAGGCACACAGTCCACTCAGGGTGGTCCCCCTCCTCAATCCTCTCAGGCTCTGCTCCAACAGGCACTCCACCAGAGGCTGCTCCAGCAGCAGCAGCAACATCTGGGCCCTGGTGGGTCACCAGCCCAACACAGCAATCCCATGAGCCCCCAGCAGCCGCAACAGATGGCCCAGTCCCCACACCCACACTTGCAGGGCCAGGCGCACACATCCCTGGCTAACCAAGTGCGATCCCCACAGCCTTCACCCAGACCCCAGTCTCAGCCGCCACACTCCAGCCCGTCCCCACGCATGCAGCCCCAGCCCTCACCGCATCACATCTCCCCTCAGATGCAAACGGGTTCCCCACACCCAGGCCACCTGAACCAGCACCACCCGGGCATGGTTGTCTCTTCACAACAACAGCCAACGACCCAGCAGCAGCAACAGAACTCTATGGAGCAGTTTGGGTCGGACCAGAGCGCCATGCTATCTCAGCTGAGTGGCATGGCTGGTATCCATGGGCCAGCGGGCAACAGTCAGGACCCACTGGGCCAGAATATGAATCACAACATCAACATCATGTAGGAATTTTACTTAACGTGTCAAGTTGAGCTGAAACGCTCTGTGATTCTTCGCACAAACTGCACTCACCCAGGACAGTGTTATTGTTATTACTTAGCCTTTCTTTTTTTATACTATTATTAAATGTTATTTAAAATGTTTTCAATAAAGATGCATTGAACTGAACTTCCTATGGGAGATGAACAATAAATCAAGCAGTCGTTAAATAAATTAGAATAAATGAATTGTAAGTTATTGCTGTTAATATATTTTTTTGCCAATTGTGGACAAAGAGGGGGATGGTTTCTCTAGCGCCCCCCCTCACCTCCACCTCTTGCTGAATACAAGAAAGGTGATATTTTTGGGGGTAAATAGGAGTAATTGCCTTTTTTAAGAAATGTTTTTAAGATTTTAAAAGTGGTCAAGAATTAAAGAGGAGATGATTTAATGCAAAGAACTTTTTTTATCGGTTTCAATTCCCATCATTCAGTCTGTCTATTTCTGTTTTGCAGAGTGATGTGGATTATTAATGTAAATCCAAACATGATGCATATCTTCATTTTTAAATGTTTGGGTTTGCTTTATTTATTTTTTTTCTTTTTGGGGGGTGGGATGGGGGTGTTATGTACCCTGAGACTGCTAAAATTCGTATAGAAATATATTTTTGTTAATGACTGTTAAGACGGGGGTAGTGGATGTTTCATTTCACTTTAGATGTCTTTAGTTGGGTCTGTCCAGGTGGGAATAATTAAATGTCAGTGTTTTATTGCAGTGGTTGAGGGTCTGCTGTGAGTTTGAGATGTTGAACGGACGCGTTACGACGTCCCGGCCAGCTTCTGTATCGGACGTCGGTCATGCTGGAAGGGACTCTTCCCTCGCAAACATGCAAGCCCTCTCCCTCGAATGTGTGTGCACTCCTTCCTTTAAAGACACTTAATATGGAGCAGTGGAGGCTTGGGGAGGGGGGGTGCATACCTGTGTGCCTGTAACATTTTGAGTACATGGGCTGGGATGTGAAAAAATGGGTGGGATGGGCTCCTTTTAGTGTTTTTAGGATTCTACTGTTTGGAGTAAACAGGATTTTGATCCAAATGAACTGTGTTGCACAGAAATGAGGAGAAAGGAGGAGATATGAGCAGTCAGTCTCCGTCTCTTTCGGCCTCGTCCCCTTTGCTGCTTCCCTTGGACTTTAAATCTCACCCCCCCCTCCTCCTCCTCTGGGGGAAGTTGTTCTCCCTCCCCCCCCAAACTCCATCCTCTTTATCTTTCTGCTAAGAACTTTGGGAGTTTAATTTAATATTTTTTACTGTACAAAGGAAACACAAACTGTGGACTCAAATACTGTTTTTATAATAAAATGAAAATTACCAACAGTGATGTGTCCTGCATGTGGCTGTTTGTTAGAGATTGGTGAATGTGAGCCATATAGCATCCACCTTTTTTTAAGAAAAACACACCTGGTTCCTGTATCACAAAGTGACACGAGTTATCCAGCTGTCTCTCGTTTTCTATTATTATGAAGTTGGCTCACTTTTAATTGAAGTTAATCAGTATGGGTTACCATGGTGATCTACCTCAGAGGATCAGATCAGAACCAGCCACCAGCCTGACCTGTTGATCACTGCAAAGACTGAGTCATTCCTACAGGATCCTGGCATGGGAACAAAGGGAAAAGTGATGAGCAAAGTTTTTTTTTTTTTTTTTTAGAAAGGCAGGTCAGTCGTATGCTGCTGTCCCAGACTTCCAATGTGTTCACTGTGGGTTTAAAACAACTAACAAACTGAGGGATCGTCGACCACATTACATAAACAATCAACGATGACAGGCTGCATTTGAATGTTGTCATTCTCAACAGGATTTAGGGATCATGAAGATGGTTCTACACTCTTATTCCAAGAGGCTAATAACATTAGCCAGTACAATGATGATAATTGTAAATAAAATGAACCTTATATTATCTTTTAGAGAAAAAGAACTCCTCAATCTGCATACTGTGAAATGGTTCCAAGTAAGTTATAAATGCAACATTTAAGTCAGATGGACCTCATCTCCTCACTCCTCTGAGTAGGTAACAGTCTCACAGTAGGCTACTTTTAATGTTTTCAAGTGTATCACACATTCATTACAGTTCATCACGTGTTAGAAAACTAAAATACTCACTATACTGCTGAACATGCCAAAGGTAACTAATGGCTTTAATCAAGGGGCAAGAGAAGGCAAGAGCCCCTCCTGACATCTGATTGGCCACTCCCTGGAGGGAGGCAAAATGACTACAATCAACATGGTCCCTTCATTTGTTGTGTCGTACTGTGCTCCTGTAGAAGGGACACAAACTGGACACAGACATGTAAAAGGCTCCCCTCCCTCTGTCTCATGTCAATGGCTTTATGCTGTTTGGAGTTAAACATAGCAGCTATTAATTGATATAATTTCATATTTAAATGTTTTTTTTGGCAAACTCATTTGTACACTAAAGAAAATATGTTTATTATTGCCAAGAATAAAAAGTAACGTTAGATTAGATATAGAGTCTTTACATGTTTTTACTAGATTTACAAATGTGCCTCCCTTCCCATCAACAGGACTACCAGGATAACTGCTGAGTAAGATCTCGATTCCCTTCAAATCTGAAAAAGTAAAAAGAGCATGCACTTAACCATAATTCAAGATATTAACTTTTTAGATATATTAACCTGCTGTTTTGGGGAACAGTGTTAATTTGTCTTAAACATCTGAAAATACATTTTATTTACCCTGTAAGACAATTACATTCATTAAACCTAAGATTGAAATTTGAGATTTGAAAACATTATTTACTCTCCTCGGACCATACCAAGACCTCATACATACCCTCTGTGATCACAACTGGTTTATATCATAAAGGCAAAAAGAGGGTGAGGAGGTTACACTCTAATACAATGCTCACTGATCTTTATACATACATACATATATAAATACATGTATTTATATATGTATGTATGTATGTATGTGTGTGTGTGTGTGTGGATACAAGTATATTTGTAGCTGAAAGAGCTTCATGTTTACTAAATTATGTTTCTTTTTGGTCTCTCCCACACACTTCAGACATACTGAGCCTATGATTCAGAGACTATTAACTTGCACTTGATGGCGTCACTTACAGTAATGTGTCTTTCCTGAGAGCAACACGCCCTCTAGTGGTGACATGACAGTACGATTGTTCAACATGAAGCAGTTATAGAGGATGGGGAACACAGTGGGGTTACAGATATTTTACAGATATTTTTAGATAAAATAGCTACAAAAAAATAACTAAAATATCTTAAGGTTGCATCTTTAAGAATAAAAATGAGTTACATTTCAGAAAGGATAATGTTGTTGGATGGGATAATTAGGGTTTACAATGGAAGCAAATTTGAGGAGAGAAATGTGGAAATATGTATCCAGATTACTCTTTTCCTCTTTGCTGGCTGATCATTGTAAATGTTTAGTTTCACGGTAAAGTGGACATTTGCACATTTTCAGTACAGAACTCACTGATTCAGTAAAACCTCTAATAATAATATATGACTTTAGTTTATTTACATTGTTATTTTCAGTGTTATTTAAATTAGTTTTGTATTTTTATACAGATTTTCATGTTTCATTATTCAGAAATGAGACCTTATACATACTGTAACCCCTTATAAAAGAAAACTGTCAACTTATGTAGAAATATCTTTTATGTAAAAGGGGATCTGAGAAATAACCGAATAAAGAATAAAATAGACTTTAAAGATGCTCTCCCTGGTTTTGTTGCAGTGCTCAATAGTGCCCGATTAAGATTCATAAATTAATAAAACAGTGTGTTGACAGTCAAGCAGTAGTTTTGGGATTTGGGGGCGCTGTTGACTGCAAAACAAATTCAGTGTATCTTTTAAATAAAGTACAAGTGGGTCACACAAAAAGCTCCCATATTGCTCTAAGAGCTTCCAGTACTTCAATGCACTTCCTGTAAAGTACAATTACTACACAAGAAAGTGTGCTGTGGGCTTTCTTTGTGTGTCTTTCCTCAACCTCCTGTCTTATATTCAGTGTACATATAAATGACTTGCAGTACTCCCAAATGATAATAAATATGCTCCAGGAGGCAGCTGTTTTTGTACATATTTATTGTAAATTCAATCAAAATAAAAAAGAGAAGACATGTTTGACAGTTCATGTTTGTCAGAGAAAGACAGATTCTGACGCATTAAGTGACATAAGTTAGTTTAGCTTGTACATGTGACATGCAATAAATAATAGCTCACTACGGTCTGACCTAACGTACATTTGCTTCGATTTGCACATTACCCTACACAGCGTAACAGCGGCAGTGTAAACTGATATCACCTCTTTTGAAATGCACAAAGGCTAGTGAAAAGAGTGGACTATCAATTGGTAATACAAAAATAGAACCAGGTAGCATTTCATACTTGAAAAGTAAAAGGACAGACAGACGGCAAACACAACTGTGTACTTCTTTTTGTGCATACTCCTTGAAATGCAGAACTGCATCTAAGCGACAGGCATTAACTCACTCTCTTTGTTTTACTTCTTTTGTGACAGAAATAAACCTCTTCAACAAACCACAGGACAGGGCTTTGTGTATGTGTGGCACAGACTGACAGGGCATGCGGTTATAGCTCTGTGAGAATACTGAAAAAAAGAACAATATCTTTACAAAACATTATTCGTAAGAAAGAGGAGCGACTGAAACAGGCCCCCGAGAACAGATCTGAGTGTGAGACCGATGTCTGGCTGGAAAGCACTGAGGACGGCTGGAAAAAGTAAGTGCATGGAAGTAGTAATGTGGACTGTAACGTTCTAGACTGCTGTTTCGCCATCTGTCTCCTGCTCTCAGTTAACCCAGCGGCCCCGGGAATGAAACCCGCCGCTGAGATCCATTTAGTCTCCTGGACTGCACTGGTTGATTTGAGCACATTTTTGGGGGCCTCAGGCTTCCTATCATGACTAATAAACACAATGATAAAAATTACCACTCATTTTTTTTTTTTTTTTATTCAAAGGCAATAATGTCTTTATTGAACTCAGTAGGAAATGAGTGTAGCTTTGTAAACATGTGGAATTATCTTACACATACGACTATTTACATGTACAAAATGAATGGCAAGTCTACTTATGGTTGTTTTGATCTCCCTCCATCTCTCTTTGTCATAATTCAATAGCTCCTAAAGAAGCCTTCAGCCACCGTGGCTTCTTTGAAAGTCACGGTCAAAGAGTTGATAGTCACATTTGTTACAATCACCTTTCCAGGATGCTCTGCTGCGGCAGTCTGACTGCCTGGTGTCGCCATGGTAACGCTCTGATTGTTACCTTTCACTTCCTCCTTCCTCTCCTCAGCAGCGGAGCAGTCAGTGACAGCGGTGAATGCGTCATCACCTGTCATCTCGCTGCACTCCTGAACGCTCACTATTACTGAGGTTGTGTTGTTTCTCTGACAAACGCTGCTCTCTAATGTGAGACACTCCGACTCAGTGCCCTCCTCACCCAATCTGTCCCAATCTGACCCGTCACCCACGGTAACCGCATCTCCTGGTCCAGCCTCAGGCATCGAGGTGCTGTCCTCTGATTGGTTGCACGCAAAAGTCTGGTTCTGTCTTGTTTCTGATGTCCCTCCCAGTCTGTTGGTCCAAGTTTCTGTACCTACCGCTGTAAGGTCGGCGCCCACGTTCTCCTCCACCTCCATCTCCATCAAGTCCTGTCGCTCCAGCAGGGGCGGGGAGCTGCACTCTGACTGACCTTAAGGGGAAAAGAGAGAATTTTTGTTCATTCCTGAGGGTCAAAGGTCAAGTACAGAATTAACCTCAATTTCTAAATGATTATTTTAACAAACCGACCATATAAACTGTCTTCACATCTCTCCTCCGTGGTGCTTTCCGACTCTGGCTTCTCTTCTTCGCTGGTGACGCCCCAGTCCTCCACCATGGGCTCCTCCATCTTCCTCAGTGGACGGAGGGTTTTGTGCGAGGGTCCTTCTGGCCCCCGTTTGGATGCCCTCTGCTTGCTCTTCCTCCAGGCTGACCGGCGGTATATGCCACCCCGCTCGCCCTGGTCCACATCTGTGCTCATGGCGCGGGTGAGGGAGAGACGCAGGCGAGGTGGCGGCTTCTCCTTGTGGGCACTGCGGAGGTCCATGGCGAAGATGTTCTGGGCAGAGCAAAGATGAAACATTACAGCCTTCATTTGGAGACAACATGAATGTGTGTGAAATCTTAAAGGATATGTCGGGTGATATTCAGTAGTTTTCTAACTGTCAACAAATCTCATGAAAAGGATTTTATAACAGAGCTCCTTGATTTCAGTTTGCAATTTCCCAGAATTCCTTTCATGAAACTGTCTTTAAGAGTGGAGAGCAGCAGCAGCAGTGAAAGTGACAGTAACAAAGTAAGATCAACAACCCCCCCCACCCCCACCCCAAAAACCAAACAGGTCTCTTAGCTGAATTGCATTCTGGTCTATTGAGGCTATTATTAGAACCGAAACATGTATTTGTGCTTCTGCAACAGTGAGTGCAAGCCGTGAAAACTGTTTTGTAAAGTCCTCTGTGGAACTGGAGGGAGTTTTCTACAGTTTAGGAAAGCTGGATGACGTCATTTTTTCACACCTTGGGCTTCAGACGATACTTTTCTAACAACCTATTACACACTGGAGATGCAGAAAATAACCAGGCCGGTCGGGTCTAATGAGAGATACTGTAGAGCTGCATTATGGGAAATTAACTTGACCCACAATATGGACTTAAAGTCAGGATATCTGAGCCTCTGCTGTGTGTGCAATACTAAACTGATGGCGTGCCTCACCAATTAATCACACTAAATTTGTGAAAGCCATAACAAAGGCTTGTGAGACAAGAAGAAAGGTAAAGTGTCGCTACCCGCAGGACGAGCCTCCTGGGTCTGAGACCTTTCCTTCGATAGGCCAGAGCTCTGATCTTCTCCTGACTGGGAGAGACGTAGAAACAGAGGGTTGGGAGAGGACAGAGACACAGTGACAAAGAGAAACAGATTGTGAGTGAGAGAACAAAAAGAAAACCCCCCCAAAAAAGTGCTCTGCAAGCATAAAAAGAGCTTTCTATGATTACTCACTTCTCTTCGTAGGCCAGGACCAGGCGCGGGTCCAAAATATTGTCCTCTGGTTCCCAAGTACTGTACCTGCCAACACACACACACACACACACACACACATTTGAATCTATCTATCTATCTATCTATCTATGTCCTTACAGGACATGGTCATCAGGTATCAATAAGCGTGTTCCAAAAAGCAAACAGATTTGAAGGGATGAGGTCATGATGATGATGATGACTCAAGGCTTACTCACTTTGGGGGCCATCCCTGCCATTTCAGTAGATACTCCACATTACCCTAAGGAGAGAGAGAGAGAGAGAGAGAGAGAGACGGGAAGAGGGGAAGAGGGGAGGGAAGGGGGGAGGACACACTTAGAGAAGGTCCAGCACAAAGTCGGAACACACTCACACAACCTGCATTTCAAATCTGGTCGCAGTGAGATGCAGGAAAACGCTGCCACGAGCGAGTAAGACCGAAAAGGATGACTGTCACTTTAAAGTGTGTAGGGAGGGAGGGAGGGGGGAGTGAGGAGGGAGGGTCGTGGACATCTTTCTCCATTTTTCTAAAGGGGTGACGTCAATGACAGTGGGGCTGGGCGGCCTCCAAACAGCAGCTCCCCTCTCGCATTTTCTCGCATTTTCTCTCGCGGTGGCATGACCACACATGGCTACGCGAGCCGGTTTCAACGAGCACGGGCGCTTTGGCAAGGATAGGTGGGGCCACGGGAACATGTAAACAACGTGGTGTTGCGCAACGTTCAACCAACAACCCTGAAACAATTATCACAACATAACTATTACTCACCTTACGTGGAGGGAAGCTGTTTGTTTACGAGGACCCCGGTCGCACACATGGTTTCACGGTTTTATTACCTAATAATAAACTTTATAATAGACTCTCACTGTTAGATGGAGGTGATGTCGCATTACACGTATCATTATTATATATTATTTTACTTTACAGGTCACACTTTATGTGCACATGCTGCGTCAAATACGCGCCGCTAAATTCTCCAACGTGGGTATAATCTGTTATTGTGAGTCCAAATCTCCGCCACTGTAAATCAATGGCTCACCATTACGCAGCAGTCGGTGATATTACGCAGCAGTTTCACTCAGAAACCGCTGCCCCGCTCGCTGGCGTAACTTAAATCAACTGCGCAGCTCCCCTGTACACTGGCCGCTTTCAGCACACTCACACTCAACACACACACCCCTTTAACATTTTAGGTTACTACAGTTGCGTGGGCTCACTCAAAACACGTTCATGCTGCAGCATCGGAGCAGGCTGCACAGGAAGGTTACAGGATGCGACTCGAGCTGCGAAACAATGTTCAACTTTGGCGCAGTTAATTAAAAGAATAGATTAGTGGGGATGGAGCAGAGTACAGGGGTAGTTGGGGAACTGCGTAGCCTAGTTTTGTGGCGCATGAGGACAGAGGGTGATGTTACAGTGCGCACCCCGCTCTGTTAGGATACAAAAAAAACATAAGGAAAACAAGTTATATAAGTTATACTAAGTGTGCTGCTGGTCCTCCTTCTTACCTTTCTCACTCTCTTCTTTGTTATTGACTCAACTGCAAACACTTGGTCTCCCATTGATGACAGCTCCATCGCTGCGCGCTGCTCCACACGCTCCAAACAGGACGCAAACACTGTATCTGTGCTGTTATTGTGGAAGAGCTGAAATAAAAATAGTTGAAGAGGAAGAGGGGGGAGGGAGGGGGGGGAGGTGCCCTCGGTTTGTTACTGTAGCCGCTCGCTCCCGGTCTGAACAGTTTTGTTTTGAGCGCTGAGGCTCTGCGTCCAAACTCCAGCTGCCTGCCTCCCTCACTTTTTAAAATCTGCGACACATCAACACAGGACAACGCGTTGCTTTAAATCGGGCGCGCCCCCTTTCCATTGCGTAAGGCCGAGCCCCCAGTGTGCGTGCCCGGGCTACAAGGGCGCGCACGCAAATTGGAGCAGAGAGCGAAAGAGGGACAGAGAGAGGGATGAGGGTCAGGACGACAAGGTTACACCAAACTAAAGTTAGAGGAGGATACAGGGATGCATAATGTGGGGTTTCATTAACATGTCTTCATTAAAAATGTTAATAATTCCATTAAAAGGGAAATGTGTTATAACTCAGTTCACTCATATTTTTACTTCTTAAACTTCAAAAACCTTTCAAACTTCATGTTTTATTTAATTCCTTGTAAACCTTTTACATATTGTCATTATTTAAAAGAAACACTTTCATAGCATTCACGCAGAGAGTTAGATAAGAAGATCCATTCTCTGGACTGTATGGTAATAGAAATATTAAATAAATCCAAATATCAAAATATTAAATAATATAAATATTTAGCTTAGCATAAAGACTGGAAACAGGGGGAAGAACTAGCTTAGCTCTGTGCAGAGTTAACATACCAGGTGCCTAACAGCACCTCTAAAGCTCACTGATTAACACGTTATATCTTTTTTTAATAATATCAAAATAATAAAAAATAATTTAATTTGTACAAAACCAAAGTTAAAAAAAAGACAATTTGTTGTTTTACAGGAGATTATGTGCCGGACTCTTTCTTGGCTGAAAGTCGGAATTCATGAATTACACTTTTTGTACAGAACAGTAATTAATGAGCCTTAGAGTTGCTGGGTGGTGGAGTTTATTAACTTTGGAGAGAACTAGCTGTTTTCCCCTATCCCTCGTCTTTATGCTAAACTAGGCTAAGAAGCTGCTAGCTGTAGCCTCAACTGTCTGCCGGAAAGCAAAAAAAGCTTACTTTCCAAAACATGAAACTATTCCTTTAAGTTATTAACAAACAGAACAACATGTCCGTTCAGTCATAAATTATTGAATTGAAGGTATTTTTATCTTTCACAGGTGAAATTCAGTCAAATGAGGTTTTTCAGTTAAAACACTGAACTCAAGCTTGAGCATGAAACAGCGTGAGCTCATGTATTTTTATGTAACAGTAGTAAAGGCAGAAAAGATCAGAATCTGCAATGGAAATGAAGGCCTCGTTTCACTCTCTGGTGAAAATGTCCACCCCTCCAGCCGTGTTTGATCCAAATATGGAAATAAACAGTTAAATACTGACTGAAAGTCTTTACATCCTGAGTGCTAAGCAACCTATCTGCAGAGAGGAGAGCTGGTACAACAGATAAAGATCTCAGTGATGATAATGACTGCTGATATGTTGCAGCCAGCATTAATTTATTACAGAGGACCAATTCCTTAAAATCTGTGTTCAGTGGCGTGATCGCAGCCACTGAACACACTCCTGTCTAACTTTTTACCAGAGCTTTTACTCATCGTGGCCCCAGGTGGAACAGCTCAGAAAGGTGAAGTGACTGCGGTGGAAAAAAGGCACAAAGCCAATTTCCTATTGTCTTTCATTGAGGCTGGTGTGGATCAGTTTACAGTAAAACTCTCTGTAACTACACACACACTCACACACACACACACACACACACACACACACAACACACACAGTCCACAGTCCACAGTCTCTCTGCACCTGGAACACTTGCATCACTTACGGGCATTGGGTGTCATGGCAACTGTTTCTACGGCGACTGCTGAAAAGCTGGATGATGATGACGAGACAGCAGGAAGAGTTGATGAACAGCTCAGGACTGATGAGTGATCCCCCCTCTACTGACCCAGCTGTGACCTTTGACCTCATTGCTCTGATATTATGTAAACACCCAAACCAGACATTTCTGTAGTTACCCAATGATATTCTTGTAGTAATGCGAAGCGTCTGTGGTGTTAAGTTGACTGGAATCAGTTTATATTGATTATGGGCTTTAAAATAAAACAACCTGTAGGTGTCAATGTCTGTTCTGTCAGCAAATAATGACTAATATGTTTATTATCAATTCATTTTACATCTAATTTTATAATCTTTTGGTGAAAATTGCCCTCACTTGTTCCTAGAGCCCAAACTAACCTATTCCAACAGTCCGAAACCCAAAGGTAATGCAGTTTATAAAGCTATTACTATAACAGAATACCAAGAAAACCCCAAAAAATGAGTACATTTGAACATGTAGGAAGCTACAAACAACCAACTTCTGCCATTTCTGCTTAAAATAACTCAAATATAAATTTGCAGATTCATGTTTGATTCACTTTTATTTACATGAAGATGCTGAATCATTTATGATGTTGCAATATTACTGAAATAAAGACCTTACAGCGGAAGGACAATCAATTGTTTATTGACGTCAGTGATCTTTGCATCTCTTTAAGGGATGATTCACTTCCAGAAAGTAGTTACTCGAGTCAGTGAATATATTCCCAAATACACACACACATACAGCTGAACGGACATGTAGTAATTGTGTTTTCTGGAGTCTGCTCAGAGGACATGTTCCCCACAGTGTCGTTGTTATGTGGCGAGTCCGTGTGGTCACAACAAATTGGTGGTACGCGGATGTCTGCACAGACTCTGCGTGTACTCCTTCTGATGCCAAAGTGTACGTCACTCGGACTCTAGTGGACGCGGAGCGTATAATACTGCTTTACAGAGAGAGAGAGAGATTTAAAAAAAAAAAAAAAATAAATAAAATCTGAGTCAATCCCCAAAAACTATAAACCCTACACACAACAGTGTCTTTAATTAGATTCTGCCTACTGAACACTTTCAGTTTGTAAAACATCTGTTAAAATTTTGGTCTCAAGCTCAAACTGAGATAACCCTGATGACCTCACCATGACATCATATTTCCTCAGAGCTCCTCTCAGAGACACAGAAGACTTAATACAAAGACTTTTTCCAACTAAGACGCACTCCTCATGATGAGTAAACTTTGTATGTAAAATTGTTGGAGGCCTCCTTTAAGTTGTTTCTATAATGCTCCTTTAATATTCTTGTAGACTTTAGGAAGTCCTGCTGGGACTCCTGATGTTTACTGTAGAGTTTACTGTGCACTGTGATGTTTTAATATCCAAACAGCAGTGATCCTGCGCGATGGCGTCCTTATAGTTCGGGTAATTTCCATGCTGATCTCATCCTACATTATGGCGTCTTTATCCTTTACGGCACTCATATAGTAACCCTACAGGGAGCAGCGTTACGGTATTAGTCTAAAATGTAATACTGATGGATGAAAAGGGCGCTTTTCCCGTAAGGAGGAGGTAATATGCTGCAATTCAAAAGAAACACAGCAATCACATGACTTGTTATCTGCCCGGATACTACTGTATCGGAGAGGGATGAAAACAACACAGCTCACTCCCACCCACATGCTATGACTCACGTATGAGTCACCAAACGTGACGGTAAAATCACCGCAACTTCTCTGGAATATAACAACAGCGAAAAAAACCAAACACATGAGGATAACTTACAGCCTCATGCCGGGAATCCACGCGTTTTCTGGGTTGTTTCCCTTTGTCCCAGCCCTTTTAGACCCCCGGGGGCAGTTCACCGGGTACAGAGTTACAAGCAGCAGCACTGCTGGGAAAAATAAAACCTTTCAAATTCTGCAGTAAAACACAAAGCTGCAAACTTTGTCGGGGGGGGTGTCTTATCTAGAAATACGTACGATCACTAGACCCCAGAGCTTCTAACACCTAACATCTGGTATCAGACCCATACTGTCTGCAGGAATCCCGGACCAGTGGTGGAACTTACTTACACTGTACTACATTTCAGAGCAAGTATTGACCTTTTTACTCTTAATCTGCTTTGTAGATTTTGACTTTGATTATCATATAAATATTTATTATATTGTATTGTATTTGCTACTAACACATGAATGTGTCAATAATAATCATCCATTGGGACAAAAGTGTGTGTCTGATATGAAAGTATAATTTCCACATTAAAATCTTTAAAAAGACATAAACTCTTTCCAGGATCTGTCAATATTATTATGTTGTTCATTTCAAAAGTTTTCCTGTTGGACACAAGATGTCTCCTATTTCACTGGAAGTCCATTGAACCAGGTTTGACCTCCAATCATGCTGATAGGCCCCGCCCCTTACAATCAGATTTTCAATGAACACAGAGAAACTTTCCACTTTCAGCAGATTAATATGAAAACATCCTTCTAGCTTTAAACTCTGCACAATGAAGACCAAACATCACACTGTAGGAACCAAAAGAAAAAGTTTTAGGGGGACTTTAAGTTTTCAGATCCAAATACTTCATCCCCCACTGGTCAGGACAGATAATATGAGAAGCCCTTTTTGTTTCATTTTGCATCAGCTCATTTCAATAACTGTTTATATAATGTGGCGTTTTGAGTTTGGTTTCTTTCCAAAGATAAGCATCCTGAAAGTTGAAGACTCAAAACAGAACCAAAACCAAAACCAGGTGAACAAAGAGGAAAATTCAAAAGACTCCGCATCAAACCAAAACCAAAACCAACCTTTCTCAAGACTATAAAGATATAAATAAACATGAAAATTTACAGTGTACAGTAAAATGTATGTTTATTAGCATTCATCAATATTAAAATAGAAATCTTTCTGGTAATTCCCCAGACTACCAAGAGAGAGGCCAACTGTTTGCTTTTTATTTTGCAGTCATTACATTTACAATGTAAAACATAAACAACCACCTTGGTAGCTACTGGGTGCTGTTCAAGACACTTAGGTGATGAAAACTAAGTTATTAATATTATTATTATTATTATTATTATTAATAAACTGTGTGTAAATATATTTTCTCTAAAATTCACATTTCAGCTTCTGTGTCAGAATCACCCTCCTCCAGCTGATCTCAGGCAGGCTGTCAGGATTGTGGATGCAGAGAAACACAACAGACGGAGGATTAATTTGATCCAAGACCAGCTGAGCAAATTTCCCATTAACTGTTGAGCACCTTCAGGTTACTGCAAGTGATTCA